AACAGGTGTAACAACACAAACTGTTGTTTTCTGCTTGGTCCTAGAGCTCAACTAGTGTCAATTTAATATAGCGTAATATTGTTTTTGGATGGTAAAAAGTGCAGGGGTCAAACCTTGACTTTGGAAAAAGTGGGGGGGACATGTCCCCCCTGTCCCCCCCCAAAATTACGTCCATGTCTATTACACAATACTTTAATCACTTTTGTGAATCGCCTGCATCAACGGCTTAATTACTTATTCACCAGGATAGTCATGTATTTATTTGTTGAGTTATCCGATTGTTTTTTTTTTTTTGCACTATCCTACTGGGTACTACTGTACATTATTTTTTACTGTATATATTGTATTTCTTATTTCTATTTCACCTGTTCCTTTGTCTCTCCTACCGCTTTGAGCATGTACATGACACAAGAATTTCCCTCGGGATAAATAAAGTTGTTCTTATCAGTGTGTGAATATGTGTGTGAATGACTGACTGTAGTGTAAAGAGTTCAGGGGCCCTCTTAATACTCAACTCACCCTTTCAACGTTGCCATAAAGACAAAATATGTTGAAGACCTTTTCAGCATTGATCTTGGATGGTTCCAGGCCATACACCATCAGAACTGGGGAATCAGCATGGGCACCATAATCAGGAGGGGGTAGTCCATAACCAGCACCATACCGTTGGCCACCTCGACCACGACCAACCATGCCTGGCCCCATGCGATGCGGAGGACCATAGGCGTCATCACTGTAGCTGTGAAAGCCTCCTTGAGGGCCCCCTGATTTACAAAAAGAAAGAAAATGAAAACGCTTTGGTCTAAAGAGAAAAAAAAGAATAAAATGTCTCTGGAAGTCACATTTACCATAATCAGCTGGGTGATCTCCCAGAAGAGCAGGCTGCCTCTGGCGTTTATTTGGATTGGCATTGGGGTCTAAAAGTTGTAAAATCAAAATGTTTCATCCAAAACGTTGTTGACTGCATGCATGAAACAGTTACAGCTAATATATGCTAAGGAACAACTCTATGAATAACATGCAACACAGAATCCTGGGATTATTTCAAGTGTTCAAAAAGTCAATATTTTTTTCCCTAATGTATTTATAACATAATGGAGATTTTTTCAGTCTTTTAACTTTTAAATATTCTATTACTTCCGTCCTAATATTAACACACAAACACACCTTGTGAATTGTTCCAATTGCCTTCACCATCTGCATCTGCATAAGTACACATACACATGTCAATTCCAAAAGAACAAAAACTTTCCAAATAGGCAATACTGCATATATTTATTTAACTCCCATGAGTTTATGCATAAATAAGACTTTAATACAGTCATCAAGAGTAACACGGGCATCTATTTCTCGTGCAGTTGGGTTTTATTGAAGACTGTTTTAAGTGATTACAAATCAGAACAAGACAACTGAGAAAGTTGCTCATGTGAGCAAAAAAATGAAACAGTCACTAAAATAAAAACATCTAAAAATACAACACAAAGAATGTTTTCCCAAAGCACTGACACTCACTGCATGTGAAATTGGGTTAGTTGACCTTGACCTAGACCAGTTTAACTACTATACATAAGAATCTGTCAAGGCTCTTTCAAATGCACCATGACTAGTTATGTAGGCCCCACTTTCCAAGGTTTAGCAAATAACAAATTTCTCAGAAATTACTCAGATGTTCTCAAGAAGCATTTTAAAATGGCCTGGTGCATTTACAGAAAACCAGGCTCAAAATACTTTGGAAACAACTCAGCATTTGTTCTCCTCCAAACATGACAAATAGAATTTTTACCAAAAAGTTCTATTTTGATTTCGTCTGACCATATGACATTCTCTCAGTCCTCTTCTGGATCGCCCAAATGCTCTCTAGCAAATGTCAGATGGGCCTGCACATGTACTGGCACATGCAAGGGCACATGTCCCATGCAGGATTTTAGTCCCATTGGTAGCCTTTGTAACTTTGGTCCCAGCTCTCTGCAGGTCATTCGCTAGGTCCCCTGTGTAGTTCTGGGATTTTTGCTCACCGTTCTTGTGATCATTTTCGCTCCACCGGGTGAGATTTTGCGTGGAGCCCCTGATCAAAAGAGATCATCAGTGGTGTCGTATGTTTTCCACTTTCTAATAATTGTTCCCACAGTTGACATCTTCACACCAAGCTGCTTACCTATTACAGATTACCAGCCTGGTGCAGGGCTACAATCTTGTTTCTGGTGTCTTTTGACAGCTCTTTGGCCTTGGCCATAGTGGAGATTGGAATGTGACTGAGGTTGTGGACAGGTGTCTTTTATAATGATCACGACTTCCAACAGGTGCCATTAATACAGGAAACGGGCGGAGGACACAGCCTGGCATAGAAGAAGTTGCAGGTCGTTGAGTGCAAGAAGAAGAAGAAGACGAAGAAGATATATTTTCTATAGCGCCTCTCGAGATAAAAATCACGAGGCGCTTCAAAAAAACAAAAAATGTAAAAACAAAAAGATAATTTAGAAAATGGTTAAAAATATATTTAAAATGAGCAAAAAATAGACAATTGGGATTAATAAATGTAAAGAAAGAGAGAGAGTGAATAGGAAAGAGGGAAATCTGTGGATCCTGAGGAAGGTGGAATAGGTGGGGAAAGCAGAATAAAGAGAGAGTGGTGAAGAAGGTCATAAAAAAAACAGCTTGAACAAGTAAGTCTTCAGCTGCTTTTTAAAGGAGTCCACTGATCTCAGGGGGAGAGAGTTCCAGAGTCTGGGGGCCACAGCAGCAAATGATCTGTCACCTTTGGTCTTTAGCCTGGTGCGTTGCACAACCAGTAGGCTTTGATCACTGGACCTCAGGGACCTGCTAGGGGTGTAGGGACTAAGAAGATCACCAATGTAAGATGGTGCTTGTCCATGTAAGGCCCTATAGACCAGAACCAGGATCTTGAAATGAACCCTGAAGTTGACTGGCAGCCAGTGAAGCTGGAGGAGAAGCGGGATGATGTGGGTGTGTTTGGAGGACTTGGTCAGAAGCCGAGCACAGGCGTTCTGAACCACCTGTAGACGGTTCAGGGAGGTTCTGCTCAGACACGTGAAAAGAGAGTTACAGTAGTCTAAGCGTGAGGAGATGAAGGTGTGGAGAACTGTCTGAAGTTCAGAGCGGGACAGAATGGGACTCAGCTTAGCAATGTTCCTGAGATGGAAGAAGGAAGAGCGAACAAGAGAACTGACATGAGAATCCAGGGTGAGAGCTGGGTCAAAGGTCACACCAAGAAATATTGCTTGTTTCTATGAGACCAAAGATTATTTTCCACCATAATTTGCAAATAAATTCTTAGAAAAAAAATCAGACAATGTGATTTTCTGGAGTTTTTTCCCCCTTATTTTGTCTCCCATAGTTGAGGTATACCTATGATAAAAATAACAAGCCTCTCATTTTTTTAAGTGGGAGAACTTGCACAGTTGGTATCTGATTACATACGTTTTGCCCCACCGTATGTCTGCCCATTACAAAACACTATGGGCAAGTACAGAGATTCAGAACGGGTCTCCAAACAGATTATTATGCTATGAATGTTTCCAAAATCTATTTTTTATGATACAATCTAAATCAAACAGGTTCAACTATTTCATTATTATGGCAGGAAAAAGTTGGCCTAGAAATGACAACAATTTAAGCTGATGTGTAAACCTCAAGTAGAGCTAATAAAATTAAAACAAGATATAAAAGGCTGATGCTAAATTTAAACTAAAAACCATAAGTCAACTTTCTGTAGTGGCACATACATTTTCAACTGTTCACCATGAAGTCAACGTATTCATTCATTTAAGTACTTACAGCACCACACATGAAGTATAGGACAGAGTGGGTAGGTGAGGTAGTCTTCAGCATAGATGCTAACTGCCAATCTCTGACTCCAGCCTCAACTCACTTTTTCCTCTTCAGTATTTTGTTTGTTCTTCCCTTCCTTGCAGCCCCACCATCAAAGAGAAAAGTACATCCACACGTCCACGTTGATTCTAGACCAGCTGCGGCTTTGCTTTTAAAGACACTATTAGAGGCTCATTTCCAGCTTACCGTGCTCTGACCACAAGGCAGGGCATTTGCACCATTTGAGAGTGGGCTGCCAGTCCACAGACACACTGAGCCAAACCTGCATCACATGGGAGGCAGTAGAGGCATCACTAGGCCAGTGCAAAAAAGGGAGAATGAAACAACGCAGAAACAACACAAGATCAGCACATTGAGGAAAAGGGGGAATAAAGTACAGAAAAAAATAGAACACCATGGTCCATAATGGCAGAACGCCTTGGGAAAGGATTTGTTAGCTGTTTGCTTTGTATGCTTGAGAGGTGTTTGATGGTTGTGTCTTCATAGGCCCCCCTGACGATATTTCTTCTCATGTAACAGTGGGTGCTCACGTGATGCGTTGCTTTTGGGGGGTTAAATGTTTTCATGGTGGTTCAGCTGTATGTTGTCTTGGATATTCGGCTTGATGTGGTGTCATGTCGTGTTCGGCACCGGCAGCAGGTAGAGACGAGGAATAATGGCATCAGTAAAAGGCCTCGTTTTTGTTTATTGCCCCAGTATGTGGTGTCATCTGTTCCCTGGTCAGGCTGAGTGTGTCTGAAATGTCCTTTGTTGATCCCTGTGGTTCCCAGAGCTAGAAGGTGTGACTTGTACGCACACACACCTGTACTCCTGCCCTCATCAACAATGTGTTGAGTCAAAGAGATAACTCCTCAGAGCTCTGTGGATGACATGTGCTGTGCTGGTAAAGAAGCTGCAGTAGGTGCTTATGTATCATCTTCAGACTGAGGTGGATATGGTGGGTGTCTGTTTGTATTGCCTTGGAGTATTTCTGTCCCTTGAAATTGAAAAAGTGGCTACTGTCCACCATCAAAAATAAAAGCATTCCAGTGTCAACTTGTGGAGATATGGGTGGTGATGAACTTGAATTAAAAAGTTCTCAGGTGGGTTGAGTTCCGGTATTTGATGTCCGACTGTGTCCCATGTGTGCCAAAAAGCAGCTTTACTTTAGTTGTGGTTGTCGTTGTGCCTATGCTATACGAGTTTGTAGAGTAAGGACACAAGGAGTGCCTCGAGGACCAGATTTCAAACACCTAAATAAAAAATGACTATGTGCATGTTCTGTCCGAACAACAAAAAGAATGTGGAGACAAATAGTAAAACAGGAGTTACTTATGTAACAGCAATACAATTTTACAATACTTAAGAGTAAAAAATAACAAAAATGTCTAATTTAATGAAGTTTCTAATATGATTAAGAAGTTATTGGGAAGATGTCCATTTGCCTGTAGTCCTATTGTGATCCATTTTGGTCGTAGAGGTGACAGAAAGCAAATCAGGTGATTATGTGGTTTTCTTAGCATTTAAAGTAGCAGCAGTAGTACAAAGTAAATGTTGGATTAGTAACCCTACTTCACACTGGAAGCATCAGTGGTGCGGAATGGTTCACTCACAAGCTTCAATGCGGACCAGTACACACAAGGGGTCTTGCCCGCAGAACAGCATCACAAAACCCTTCTAGACTTCTGCCATCCTCCCTATTTGTCTCGGGAGATTACAAAATCCCTCGAGAATTCAAAGTTCATGGTTTGTTACGCCATCTGCCATTAAACCAAAAAGAAGGAATTACGTTTGATGTCATACAGGATGTTGTTGTTCTCCACTGCCAGGACTAAAGCCATGAAAAACACACCACTGCACTTCTGGAACGATGCTGGGAATAAATAAATTGTTATGGGCTCGACACACGGGAGGCGACATCGCCTCTCCTCCATTCATTTTCAATGAGACATGCGTGGCAAAGCGATAATCGCGGGTCTCCCTCCTATTAAGCGAAACGCGAAAAACGTGCGTGTGAAATTTTGCGCTCGTGCACGTGTCGTGCACAGGCGACCCAGCAACGCGATCCCAGAAAGTTGAAATATTTTCAACTCTTCATCGCTGTCGCTCGGACGAGGACCAATCAACGGAGGTTTCATTCACTGACCAATGAGCGGACAGGATGCTCCGTACATCTCCGAGCAAACATGAAGGAGAAGTTGATTATTATTATGTTTTATATAGTAAAATCACAAGTAAGATTTCACATAACTTTAGCAGCACCTTGAGAAACATCATATCTACCACTTTATTAACTCTGAACCGCTTAAATAACCTTAATTCCCTCCAGCCTGACACAGCCAAACAAAACAACGGAAGTTTCAATTTCGCCATGGAACAGAAAGCGTAGATGGCTTTGCCGCTGGCCACTGCCGCGGGTCGCCTCCCGTGTGTCGAGCCCATTAGGCCACACGTATTGCCGTAATCTACACTTCAAATTGCATTGCTGTAACCGTCTTTTATTTGGAAAATTACCAGGGGTTTTACACTAAAACCGTGTGATATTTCCACATCGTGGCTGGTTTGAAACACCCCCATAGACTATAATGGATTCTATTTAAAGCAGTGCTGACGCTTTCAGTGTGAAATAAGGGTTAAACTAAACACGTTTTCACCTTCTCATGTTTAGAGAAAGGTGATATAGTTGGTCAAAACTATTTTGATTTGCCGACACAAAAATACAAATTTATTTAGGTATGTTTACGAGAATGATTAGAAAATATTCACAGAAGATACCATTAAGTGCATTTATATTTTACGACATCACTTAAAGGCCCCATGAATGCTCAGACCTTGAATTTCAAGTCTGATTTGCGCGTTAATCACATTCTTTTACATAAATAAACCACTTGAGAATAAATTCAAATTCTTTATATGGAGGTATAAAAAATAAACATTCATGCCATATGTGAATCTGCTACTAATCAAAAAACTAAACATTTAGTCAGAATAATAACGTAAAAAAAAGAACCTTACATGCATGCGTGTTTTTTAAGTATTACTTTTACTTAAATCAAGGCAATTTATTATTATATAGTAATAATTATTACTTTTTATGTTAAACTGTAATAAAATATAGGTTTAAAATATTAACTTATTTACTAGAAAATTATGAATTAACTTGATAGCTGTTTTGCATCTGACCCTGAGGAGCAGTGGGATGCCATCTGTATGGGGCCTGCAGGGCAACAGGGTTCAGCATCTTGTCCAAGGACACCTGGACACATGGCCACAGGGCCTGAAGTGGGACTGATCCAGCCCACTGACCACCCAAGTAGTTTGTGAATTGCTTTGATGTTCATCTAAATTTTTATGCATCAAATTACCTAAAAACAAGCTAACTAATGCAGTTCAAGTATTTTGGGTTTGGCTATAGTACTACTAATAAATCTGGATTGGACTTTTAATATGAAGCAGTCAAAATTTATATATTTTGTATTAGATACTTATCCTGCTTACAACTGCATGTTTTTTTTTTTTACTTCAAAATTGACAGGCCTTTTGGTAGTAAATTACACAATGGGGGACATTGTTTAACCCGGGGGTCGGCAACCCGCGGTTCTGGAGCCGCATGCGGCTCTTCCATCCATCTGATGCGGCTCTCTGTGCTTGAAAATAATGAATGGATATTTAAATAAAATGCTTTATATTTTACTGCATTAATTTTACATCTGTATGCTAATTCTATGTAAAGATTGTCTGCGTAAACCTGAACAGTTCCAACCCGGTCTTACTGTGAGACCGGGTCACGCTTGTGCGTAATCATAGGCGCATTCTGAGCTGAAGAGGATGTGAGATTCTGGGATTCTCCTCAGACGGCTCCTGGATGTGTCGCCACATTGGAGACAGGAACAAGCACTATTCAGCCAAAGTTTCATAATCAGGGAACATTTTCTAAGTGACAAGTCTCGCTTCAGTTGGAGGAATCTTCCCGCATATGCTCTGGTTCTGCGACGTGCTCCAAGCCCCTCTCCACATCTTCAGCTCGCTGTGCACCGTACGTACGCGCTGACAGCGAGCTGCGCTGAGCAGTGTCCAGCTCAGATGTTCAGATGGGAATCTTTTCTTGAGTGATTTAGCTACATCTGTGCGTAACGAATAAAATGTCAGTTTGTCTGCATGCGTCGGGGTAATTCTTTCTATTCTTTCTCCGTCAAAATAAACGGCCAAATACGGGAACTGTCCGGTCAACACAACACAAGCCCTGCTTTTAAATGTTTTGTTTTCTTGTGAAAATTGTTGCAAAGAGATATAATTTAACTTGATTAACACCTGAGCCAGGCGCACTGCGCCGTTATCTCCGTCGCTGTAAATGAGGGAAAAACAAATTGATCGGACCTTCCCCACCAACAAAGTTTAATTACAACAATCAAACGTGACAGAGCCTGGATTTGTATTCTGAACAGTCTAAACATGTTTTAAAAATAAACGTATGACAAAAGTGGCACCTGCTCAGTAAAACCACCAACAGGGTGAAAAATATCTAAATATTGTAGGCATAGACGGGCTACAACTTCTGGATCCATTTTTTTTATAAATCCTTTTATTGATTATCTTCTTATGAAAGATAACTCTGACGTACACGAGCGACCGGTACTGGCTGCTGTCACCTGTTGTGATTGGTTAAGGCAGCTCTCTGCTGTCTGAGGGTAGGCCCCGCCCACAATGCCGCGGCTGCTGTGGCTCCCAGTGTTTTCTTTACTGTGGGAAACGGGTAATAATGGCTCTTTCATGGGAACAGGTTGCCGACCCCTGGTTTAACCCAATGAGTGCTTTAAGAAATAATTTCTATTTAACTAAAATTAAATTCCCATCAGTTGTCACAAACACTAATGTGTGACAACTGATGGGAATTTAACATCCAGATATGTTTAAGTATCTAATATAAATAATTTTTTATTTCATTATGCAGTAAACACTAGAAGTCACAAGTGTCATTTCATGGGGCCCTTAATCAGAAGTCTGTCAGGTAAAAAGTGTTTTTCTTTAAACATCAAGTTCACTACTTAAGCAAACACCACTGTGTGAATGCATATACATCAGAAAAATGGTAAACAGTGTTGTGTGTTATTTATGCCACGATAAAATCTCCACTATGTTTTAAAGAAAGCTAACAGGTGTGATGATGCATTTTGCTGACTGGATTAGAGAAGGCATGGAAGTGAGACTGTGCAGCTGTGACATGCTCTACAGGGAACGTGGACATGTGTGAACATACTTATGCTATACCTAACGCTACAAAGGGAGCCTGCTACTTTACTCATGCATGAGTCTCTAATGCGGGCATCCTTGAAGGCTGCTCCTCATGCCCTTTGCACCTGCTGTGTGGTGAGAAAATGCATAAAGACTGATGGCATCACAGGGGAACTGCCTTAACACTTCGATTAGCTGCACAGAGGCAAATATTTGTTTGTGTTCAAAGGAAATTCCCCTGGAGGCAAAACACCCCCCCCCCAAAAAAAATCCCATATAGTGGCATGAGAGGGAAAAGGGGAAAAACGGAAATCAGGCAGAAAAATGCATGTTACCTTGGCCACTCAGGTTGGGGTTTGTATAGTCCCATGTGTCCTGGTCATTCTTGAAGACATTTAGGCGTGCTGGCTGTTTTACAAAATAAGACGAGTGAGCTACAAACACACTCTGAGCCAACATCCTTTCATTTAGAGAGAGATCAAACACCATCATACACTTACCTTGGCATAGTCGATCTTTAGAGTGCAACAACCAGAATAGATGTCAGCTCCGTTCAAAGAAGCTTTGGCCCTCTGAGCACTTTGAACTGAATCAAATGTAGCATCAATAGTTAAGATCTGATTATCTGAGTTTGAGGCTAGAAGTAAAATACAAAATTAATACCATACACAGTAAATCGCAACAGTAAAATTACTCCCAAAAACTGAATAAATACACAAGAAATAAACACAGGATCTGAAAGGATATTCGACCATGGCCTGAACACCATTCTTTCTGAAGATGACGATCCTTTGCACGGGACCACAGTTGTTACAAATGGTGTAGAGCACATCCTGGAGGATAAAAAGGTAAATACAGTATAGTTGATGAGATAAACAGATGTTATCTCGATTAGAACAGTCTATCACTGCCTCAGTGCTGCTCTTTTGGTCCACCAGGCGATGCCTCTTTCAGTAGCGTTTTCCTAACAGGAAATAGCATCTCCACCCATGCATAGAGTCCCACTTTAAAACAGGGCATATTCTACCCCTTACTTTAAGAGTTATCAAAGATCTATGGTCTAGAAAATATATTCATGAAGTTTTATGAAATTCTACTTTAGCGTATACTTTCAGTTTTGTTCTCATTTTTTCAGCTGAAAAGTTTCATTTTTTCTCCCATATTTATTATATATATATATATATATATATATATATATATATATTTATTTTATATATATATTTATTATATATATATATATATATATATATATATATATATATATATATATTTATTTATTTATTTATTTATTTTATATATATATTTATTTTATATATATATATATATATATATATATATATACATACAGTTGTGGTCAGAAGTTTACATACACTTGTAAAAAATATAATATAATGGCTCTACTGAGTGTCCCGTTATTTCTAAAACTCTGATTTTTCTCTGATAGAGTGATTGGAACAGATACTTCTTTGTCACAAAAAACATTCATGAAGTTTGGTTCTTTAATGTCTTTATTATGGGTTAACAGAGAAAAGTGATCACATTTGCTGGGTCACAAATATACATACAGCAGTGCTAATATTTGGTTACATGTCCCTTAGCCATTTTCACTTCAATCAGGCGCTTTTGGTAGCCATCCACAAGCTTCTGGCAAGCTTCTGGTTGAATCTTTGACCACTCCTCTTGACAGAATTGGTGAAGTTCAGTTAAGCTTGATGGCTTTCTGACATGGACTTGTTTCTTCAGCACTGTCCACATGTTTTCAATGGGGTTTAAGTCAGGACTTTGGGAAGGCCATTCTAAAACCCTTATTCTAGCCTGATTTAGCCATTCCTTTACCACTTTTGATGTGTGTTTGGGGTCATTGTCCTGTTGGAACACCCAACTGCGCCCAAGACCCAACCTTCGTGCTGATGATTTTAGGTTATGTTGAAGAATGTGAAGGTAATCCTCCTTCTTCATTATCCCATTTACTCTCTGTAAAGCACCAGTTCCATTGGCAGCAAAACAGCCCCACAGCATAATATTCCCACCACCATGCTTGACTGTAGGCATGGTGTTCTTGGGGTTAAAGGCCTCACCTTTTCTCCTCCAAACATATTGCTGGGCATTGTGGCCAAAAAACTTGATTTTTGTTTCCTCTGACCACAGAACTTTCCTCCAGAGGTCTTATCTTTGTCCATGTGATCAGCAGCAAACTTCAGTCGAGCCTTAAGGTGCCGCTTTTGGAGCAAGGGCTTCCTTCTTGCACGGCAGCCTCTCAGTCCATGGAGATGCAAAACACGTTTGACTGTGGACAATGACACATGTGTTCCAGCAGCTTCTAATTCTTGGCAGATCTGCTTTTTGGTGATTCTTGGTTCACTCTTTACCCTCCTGACCAATTTTCTCTCAGCAGCAGGTGATAGCTTGTGTTTTCTTCCTGATCTTGGCAGTGATGAAACAGTGCCATGCACCTTATACTTACAAACAATTGTTTGCACTGTTGCTCTTGGGACCTGCAGCTGCTTTGAAATGGCCCCAAGTGACTTTCCTGACTTGTTCAAGTCAATAATTCGCTTTTTCAGATCCATGCTGAGCTCCTTTGACTTTCCCATTGTAGCGTTTGTGGGCGTTTGTATCCAATGAGCCCTATTTACCTGGCCTAAGAGAAGTCACCCGCTGTAGTCACTCATAATCACTCACAAGAAGTTAAGAGGCCATGCTATGAAGCTCAGTTCACTGACACATTTCTAAGTCACCAAAATTGCTAGATCAAGTTGCTGTATGTATATTTGTGACCCAGCAAATGTGATCACTTTTCTCTGTTAACCCATAATAAAGACATTAAAGAACCAAACTTCATGAATGTTTTTTTGTGACAAAGAAGTATCTGTTCCAATCACTCTATCAGAAAAAAATCAGAGTTTTAGAAATAACGGGACACTCAGTAGAGCCATTATATTATATTTTTTACAAGTGTATGTAAACTTCTGACCACAACTGTATATATATATATATATATATATATATATATATATATATATATATATAGGATGCAAAAAAAACTTAAAAAACAAAAACAGATGTGCATTTGTTCCTTTTAATACCTCAATCTTAAAGGGACTTCACAGAGTTTTGAATTTTTATGCTCACGATTGCCCCCTCAGGCCAAAAGCGTAACGGCAGCTTCAATAGTAGGCTCGTGCACGAGGCGCGCATGCTTAACGTGCACACTCCTTAACAAAAATAACAGCTGAGACAGTCCTGTGTGTGTGTGTCTGGGGGGGCAGAGGACAGGAGAATGCGCAGCTAATTAATTAAATAATTTGGTTCTGTAACTTTCTCTTCAGCACAGCCGACAAAGGTTTATGATGGGTCAGTCCTCCTGCATGCTCAGACCATTCCCTTCCCTTGCTTGAAAAATTGTTCCAAAATAAAAGTTGAACCCACATCTTTTTTATCTATGAATTCAATGCCGTTCGGCGAGTCTCAAATAAAAATTTTAGATCTTACCGTAAAAAAATGTATCATTAATGTAAAAAAGAAACTTTAAATAAACTATGTACACATCCAGAATCGAACCCGGGTTTTCTGCACGAGAGTCCGACGTCTTATTAGGTGAGCTAAAGCACCAGTGATGTCTTTGGTATCTGTAACATTTATATCCTTGATAACAGCTGAAACAACGTTCAAAGAACGGTTCGGAGGGCTAAGCCTGAGCGTGAACGCGCATGAAGCAGCCTGCTCGACCCGAGCAGCTCTCTTTTTCTGTGATTTTACAGAAAAACAGGCAATCACAGTAAAAATGCCAGGGCTCATTCTACAGGACCAGGGCATTGCAGGAGAATGTATGAAGAAAGGTATTATTTCTATACATGTTTTGGCTGTCAAACTTCCATAATGCCCCTTTAAGAAAACTTTGACTGCACTAAGATCACAAATATATCTTTTATTAAATAAATATTAGATCCTTAAACTTACAATTCTATAATTAAGATGTAATTATCTTTTTTTTTTTAGTCTTTCAGTTGTTTTGTTTTTAGGCAGTGATGTCATTCAAATCCATGCTTTCGTTCTTTTTAAACACAGAAACAGTTTTGTTTACCTGTTTTGTAGCTACACTACATGGATTTAGAAAGACACAGCAAGAACACACCTAAGATGTCATTCAAATATTCTTCAGTTCTGCAATTAATCCTCAGTCTAACAAATCCAAAGCAGAAATAGAAATATAGACTATAAAGAGTGTTTCGTCTGTAGCTAAATGATAGAATTTCAATAAGGGTTTAAATTTCAATAAGGGTTTAAAAACACTGTGATTTGGAGCCTTTTACCGTGGTGATGGGATAGATGGGGTTCACGATGGTCAGCAGCAGCACATTGTTGACACTCCTGGTGTCATCGGCATCTCCTGGTCGAGAGATCTTTTGACTAGTGGAGTAGTTAATGAAGGCAGGATGACCTGCAATATTAACTTGGTGTTCAGCTGCATATATAACAGCATTACAGGAGCATTTCATGTCCTCATACTCCACCAGGGCCTGACGCTTATTGGGCATCATAACTACATAACTGCAAAGGAAAAGAACAAAGGGCAACTTTTAACATAAGGCTTTCAGCAGTCTGCTCTCTCTCTCTCTCACACACACACACACACACACACACACACACACACACACACACACACACACACACACACACACACACACACACACACACACACACACACACACACGATTTGAACCAACAGATGGATTTGCAGAGTTATGCAGAGCTTAATGAATTGCTAAACAGATGATTTAACAATTGAATCAAGTGGAACAGAGAACAACTGAAACACACATACAATACAGGTGGTCTGTCGATACGTGTTCCCTCGTCCAGATTTGTTTCTTTTCCACCCAGCTGCTAGTTTGAACCATCCACTCGCACAAAAGGCGTGTCCTAACACTTACCCTAATCCTAAAACATGCATAAAATCGTGTAATACATTTTAATTTCATAAATTATAATTATGCAAACAATGTTTTGGTGACAGTGTGGTTACGGTTAGGGTTATTTTTTGTGAGTGGATGGCTCCAACTCGCAGCTGGGTGGAAAAGAAACGGATTTCGACGGGGGGACTCATATCGATACAACCGGCCCTCCAGGACTGGCGTTGGGTACCCCTGCTCGAGTTGCAGCCTAGTGCTCCGTTACCTGATGGTTCCAAACTCCTGCATGGCCTTCACCAGGTCGGCCTCCAGCACACCGTCTACCAATCCCCGTATATGTACCACAGGGGAGGGCAGTGGTTTGTGTGGGTCATCATAGTTGTCCTAAGAATCAACAACGGCGTTGGTAATAGACAACACACGTTTTGTGTCAGAAATCGCTGCTAGCTTCATACAACAGATTTATCACAACCGAAACGAAGAAAGTATTTCCTTTACCGTTAAGGAAGAGTATGTTGACATTAAGTTCAAGTGAACGTTTCCTATCAACGACCTAAACGACATGCTGTGCCGGTTTATTTATTCCACATACACATCAAATCTAAGCAATGTGAGCACAGCCCTGACTAGCTACAGCTAATTAGCTTCTTCGTTTTAGCTACCTCCCATTATATTCCCTACTGGTACTAATATGGTTTGTTAAATAACAAGAACGCGTATAGTTTAAAGTTTCCGTCACGCCTATTTACAGTTTGCGAGAAAACACTCACCGTGATCATTCCTCCCTCGGTTTTCTGTCGTTTCGTTGCTCTGCCGCCTTCTCTGTAATATCGGGACGCAACAGCAGCCATGTTGTCAAATCCCTCCACCGGTTTTGTGTTGCGTTACAGTTCTGGGGAAAAACTTGGTGACTTCGCTCAGGTGACATTTCCACAATATTAACCATTATTATCGCGTTGTTATTTCTTCCTCCATATAATCTGTATTATAAAATATTCATACGGTATCTTCCAAAAGTATTGATTTAACTTTAATATGATTCTGATCATTTAGTGACGTTCACGATGAACTAACGACTTGTCCATGGTGTCTCGCATTTAACTGTTAGAAATGGACACCTGCTTCAGTCACTCTGAACAACAATAGTCGGAAATGATAATTATGTGGATTTGTGATTGATTTTTCTACTCACCAAACAGTTAAATGTTGAATTGATGATTATTGACAATGGTATTTGAACGCAACATGACCACGTGACATGCTAAAGACATTGCTATTGGTCCCAGACAGCTCGTCAGCTTCTTTGGGTTTCTCTTTCACTGAGAGCGGTCCTCATATGTGACTTTTGTTGCTTTCTTCCTTGTTATGCATATTTAGTTAAAATGTACCACAACGTGAGCTACTAATCAAATTATCAATACAACAAGACCAAAAACACACTTAAAATTAACACAGAATTCAAATGTAACCAATTTCTCTTGTATTTCATGAAGTAGCAACCACAATTTAAATGAGCAAGCAGGCTATAGGGAGCCTAATCCCTTTCCAGTCGGCTCATGGATATCGGAAGAATGAAAAAGATGAATGCAAGTCAATGGGGCTAAACGAGCTATTTTTCAATATGCTTCTTACGCCCTGGATTGCACATATGTTATAATTCAATTTAAAGGTGAACTATGCAAGAATTGGACAGTTAAATAATCACAAAACAGTCCAATGTGGCTATCACATTGCAGGAAAGGTTTCAATGACAAGACTAGGGGAATGTCAGGTTTCTGTTTTCAAAAAGGTTGGGTCGTGATGGCCATTCTGTTAACAAACAGAGCCTCCCTCCATCTTCCTGGTCCCAGAGCCAATCACATTTGAGCCCGCCGAGTTGCCTCGTCTCCAACACTACTGCTGTTTTGTATTTCTTATTTGACCCCCCCGTCAGCTTCACAGAGCTTCGTCTCAGCTGTTATTTTCGTTCAGGAGTGTGCACGTACAGCATGCGCGCCTCGTGCACGAGCCTCCTATTGAAGCTGCCGTTACGCTTTTGGCCAGAGGGGGCAATCACGAGCATAAAATTTCAAAACTCCATAAAGTCCCTTTAAGGTCACAGTTTCTGGACCTTAAGGTTAGGATTGGGGTGAGGGGAAGGTTAAATAGTCGAATAATGTCCGTGTGAACAGGTGTCTCCAGGTGAACAGTTTGAGCCTTGGAATCGACGCAATTCGCATGGGTACTGCTGGAGTGAACCAAATCTCTTGAGAGAGGAATGTTGGAACGAGTTTGGCTAGGTTTTTTTTTTTTTTTTTTTGGTGGATCGAGACATTGGATCTCTTCCTGATGAGGAAGATGGCGAGTCTTGCCTGTTGATAGAAACGAAACCATACCAAGTGGGCCTGAAGAGCAGGTTGCTCTTCTTCTTTGAACAATCTCGACAGTGCGGTAGGGCAAAATCGCACTAATTGGTCACTTGACTTTTATATTGACTGGGTGAACTTTGACTTTTAAGCCAGCAAACTTTACAACATTGAGCTCAGACTGACTGTTAACATATTGTCACTAATATTTCCTCTTTGTGTTGTATTAAAGTGTGGTTCTGTTCAAAACTGCATTAAATTGTTGGTATACATACCGTTTGTACCAAACCTGTGATTCCAGTCATTCTTAAAACAACTCTCATCAATTCTTTTTGAACCTAACTATTGGCCCATTTGCTTATTTTTTTCTTTAATTGCCTTAATGTATCCTGCAGTTGGTTGCATGATCATCTGAGGAGTCACCAAACTTTTCTCTATGTTTATGGAAAACCTGTGAAGGTGGTGTGTTGTGCTGGTATTGAGCTCTGACGAAGGAGAAACGCAGGAATTTTCTGTGTTTTGGGATCACAGAAATGTGAAAATAGGCGTCTCTCATGTTGATGGAGGTAAACCAATCGCCTGGACGCACATAACTCAGAAACTGTTTGATGGTCAGCAGGCGGAAGTGTTTAATTACCAGAAAGCGGGCAGATTGAGAATGGGCCTGACTCCTCCCGAGGTTTTTGGAACCAGGAAGTAGCGAGAGTAGAACCCTTTCTTCGCCCTTTGGAACCCTGGAAGTAGCTACCTTTCCAGTAGCTCCAGCAGTTCTGATCTGAGAGCAAGATTGATTTGTTAATGTCAGTTTGGTCTCCACAATCCCTGCAAATGGGGAAGGGCGAGACTGAAACTGGAGCCTTTGACCATGACGTGTGATGTTGTGTATCCATGCACCCATGTGACAAGCACGTGTCCATGCCTGCGCATGATGAGAGAGGAGCTGCGTGTGCAGGGGCTGTGTCTGATGCACACACATGAGCCATCCTTAAGCCTTTACTGTCATCGCCACCTCCACAGACAACACATTCTCACACCCAAAGCATCAATATATAACACGTGTGACCAAGCCTCAATATATGACGATTCGGGATGCCCCAGCGAGTCAGGACACGACGATCAGGAACACGCTGGGACACGTGGCTCCGCTGGCATCACTGTTTGACGCGCGCAGTCACACAGACATTATTCGACTATTTAACCTTCCCCTCACCCCAATCCTAACCTTAAGGTCCATAAACTGTGACCTTAAGGTTAGGATTGGGGTGAGGGGAAGGTTAAGTAGTTCACAAGTAGTTCTAATGTCCGTCATAGCACCAGCGTCAGATACCGACGCTCTGGGACTCTGCGTAGGCAGTTTGTCCCTGATCGTCGTGTCCTGACGCGCTGGGGTGTCCCGAATCGTCACATGCGTCATATATTGACGCTTTGCGTGTGAGAATGTGTTGCCTACAGAGTCTCCGACATGGGATGTTCCCGGTTTTGACAGTTATTACTCCTCTATCAACTCACAAGAGCAGTCAGTAGTAGCTTCCTGCATCAACGTCTCGAGTGTGTTCGAATCTGCTGCACATTTCCAGCTTGACGCTGAGAGGGCGGACCTTACTCTGCTTTGACCAATAGAATCGCAGACTAGATCTGTTCCACTAAAACGTCTTCTACTTTAAATTTTTTATTTACTTGACTATCTATTTAGTTATTTATTAATTCTTTTTTATTTATCTTAATTTATACTTTATTTTTATTTGGGGATGGATCACGTTAGTAACCCAATCACTCAGTACATTACTGATGTTTACATTTTATGGGCTACATCCACGTTCTTGGGGGTGGAACTGAACTTCGGGATCATGAAAGAGCGCCTGTCACAGTCCGGAATTATGGACTTAACCATATGCATATCGCAGCGCACTCCTTGGTTTCCGGAACTGCAGCTGTTGGTGATAGCACGCCCGTGGCGCCTGATTTGGAGGGAGGAAGCCCTCCTGCAAGCAGGCGGAGCCTTCAGACACTCACCAATCCTGGATCAACATTTGTGGGTTTGATCGCTAAGCGGTCGCTCAGTGTCCCTTGGACCATCACCCGACATTATCCAGACTAATCAGAATGCTCACGCTTCATCCACATTGGTCTCATTTACTGCTAAATGGCCCGCATTCCAGCTGATCCCCTCTCCTGCCCATTAGCCGGAGTTCTGTCTTTCCTGTAGATGCTGACAAACAAAGGGTTCAGCACTGCTGAGTGATATGCTGCGGCTGTTTCCTCCTGTTACCAGGGGTTTTGGGGATAGATCTGCCTTCAGCCATCCTCTCACCAAGCACTTCATGAAAAGCGTTCAGAGGCTCAGGCCTGCTCCAGCATCTCTGACTCCACAATGGGATCTGGCTGTGGTTCTGTGTGGGCTGTCCCAGCATCCCTTTGAACCTTTGGACCAGATTCCAATAAAATTTTTGTCCCTCAAGACCGCAATGTTGCTGGATTTGACGTCATTTAAGAAAGTTAGTGACCTAACAGCTCTTTCTGTTTCACCATCTTGTCTCAGCATCAGGAATGATGAGGGTTCAGCCGTTCTCTGATTTAACCCAGTGTTCTACTCCAAAGAGCATCACCGGCTCTTTCAGGTCCTGAACCACTTCTCTGATGGGGTTTTCCTTCCCCTCATGTGTCAGAGTAAGATGCTGCATCCCACCTGCTGTGACCAGTGCATGCGCTCAGACTCTATGTCTCTCGCACAGCTCAGCTGCGCAGTTTCGTTTTTGTCATCCTTGTGTTCTTAATCACCATCATTGACATGTCCTCACAACATGTCTCTTGATTGTGACTTGATTGTGACAGCTTCCCCTCCAGACTGTTGCTAGGCAACATTGGGGTTGATTCTCATCAGCTATACGCTTATCATATGCCGTCATCATGTCCTCCAGCTGTTTTCTCATGTTTTACCCTTTTATGGGGCCAGGACCCACCTAGGAGGCGGGCGTACATATATATATGTATATATATATATATATATATATATATATATATACATATATATATATATAATATATATATACATATATACATATATATACATACATACATACATACATATATATATACATATATACATACATACATATATATATATATATATATATATATATATATATATATATATATATATATATATATATGTATATATATATATAGTAAATGGAGTCCATCATCAGTCTGAGAGAAGGATTATTCAATCATGGTAAACTGTTCAGACAGCTGCCAGTCCCTCTGTGGGTGCATGTCTCAGCATGTTCAGATGGAGGTTTGTTCATGCAATCATCCGCCTAAAATGCCAGGGTAAACAGCACATGTCTTCTTTTGAAGTATTTTCCTCTAAAAATTGTGCAAACAAACATCAAGACATGTGAGAAAAAGTCCCTCAAAAGAATTAGACAGTTGTTTATCCAAAATACACAGTGAAGATATTGCTCATCATGTTTATCACTCAGATATTTGCACACATTTTAATTCTAAAATACACACATTCATAAGCATCTTTGTCTTGATATGATGGTGATGTTCAACTTTCCGCTCAGTCGGAACCAGTTACTGATGGACAGGACGTCCAACTGAACCAAATTGATTCGAATCACAGTTACTTAAAAAATAAAACAACAAATAAATGCATAATTTATATTCTCAATCTGACTTTTTTCAGAAACAAAGTTTTTCATTGGAAATTTCCAGAATGGAAACAGGTGTTTAATGCTTTTTGTGCTACCCTGTAATGTTTTTATGTGATTATACAGTACATATTTGTATTATGTTATTCTATAATTACATTATCTATGCAAATAAAAATCAGTCAATCCATTGTTGGTTACAAATCTTTTTATGTTAAATAGTATTTACTTTATGATGGCCAGGGAGTGGTTGGTTGTATTTTGAAACATAAAGTCTTAGGAATGAAAGATACATCAATATATAAGTAACTGGGTACTACAAAAATGCTATCAAGATATTTTACTGCTGAAATGCAACAAGAGTTGGGTTTTACATCAATGTTCCACTTAGCAGGTGACATTTCCTATGGATTTTTGAAAAACTTTGATTTCTATCAAATAAACTCCAGGTTTGTCTGCCTCTAACTCCAGTTCTCATCATTTGCATTCATCCTATTTTGAGCCCTCAAGGCATGTTTAATATCGTTCCACAAATGTGGAATGACCTACCAAGCACTACAAGAACAGGGGCTTCCTTTTCGGCTTTCAAGAAACTCCTGAAGACCCTGCTCTTCAGAGAGCATCTTCTAAACTAGCACCTTCCCTGCACCCGTCCCCCCTCTCTACTGTCCACTCCTTGTTCCCTCCTCTCCACGATTCATCACGCTGCCTCACTGCCACCTACGACTGGCTGGAAACAGTTACTGTTAGCCTCAAGGGCAACATGCCGATTATAACTTGTAAGTCGCTTTGGACAAAAGCTGCTAAATACATAAACATAAACATAATATATTTGTTTTACAGATTCACAAACTGTTATTCTTACCCTGCAATGAAAAGTAACAATAAAGTCCATTAAAATGTCAATGTAATTATAACATTTTACAATAAATTACATTAGACATGTTATTCTAGCACAAGAATATTAAAAGTCATACAATTACAGCAATAATAAATAAACAGAGAAGTGTACAGGGGAAACATCTCACGACATCCAAGCAGTCATGCTGCATGGCAGACACTCTGCAGCAATTCATTTTTTATCGTAAGTCTTCTTTAGTTTGACATCTCCAAATATTCCTGGAAATGCAGTGGCAACTATTATTGTAATTAACAGTATTTACACCAAATTATGTTGCTGCAGCACATATAAAACACCGACTTCTGGTTAGATTACTACTGATAGCTATGTGGCGGTGCACTGGCGAGTGTGCCTGCAGAGGAGACCTAACCTAACCTGACCCATCCTGATTCTGTGTCTGAGACATCAAGCCACTGCTGGGTGTTAATCATCCAATCTATGTTTACAGAGGTCTCCATTTAACACTGGAAATTATTATTTGATGGTGACATTAAATAACGGCCTGTTTCATTTGCCACCAGTGAATCTGAAATGGCTGCTTTTATCCCAGAAAGTGTGAGGTATTTTTGCAGGGGCCAAGTACCCAAAAACCTTGTTCCAATCTATAGTTGTAATATCTGCAGCATTTGTAGCTTAATGAATCATTTGAGTTGTGAGGTAAAGACCAGTTTACTTGTTTAGTTTTTGAAGACCTTCCACTTTTCATCAAAAGAGTTTTCTCCAAACAGATAAAACGAACAAGCAAACACAGAAGACACATGGTGTCAGTTGCTTTTTTAAGTCCTCTTAGCATTTGCCAAGTTCTGGAAGATCGAGCTTCATTATTCACTCAGAAAAATTCTGAGAAACAACAAGAACAGTTTTAACAAAGAGCTGAAATGAGTCCCTTCCTGTAAATTTCCCACATGTTTGTGTAACATCACTCAGCTACCTCACCAATAGAAATGTCTCTAACTGATTAATTTATGCAACTAAACTAAACAATCTTCAGATAAATCTGTCGTTTATCGTAAAGAGAAGCAATTGCAATTTTCAAACTCCAGGTATGAGCCATGAGGCACTCCTAAGCCAAGTCCAATGACAGGATGACATTCTGTTTTCTCCTTTTGGTTGCAGAAATTCATCCAGGTACCCAAAGCAAGTCTTTCAGAGCACCGAGAAAGAATCCTCCTAACTCAAACAGACTTTTAGCTTGTGTGAAAACTGATTTGCATGTGTGAGTCTGCAGTGTTTCATTAGCCATGGCAGCAGTTGTCGAATCATGACTTTGACTGATTTCCAGGTCCCAACAAACTCCAGGTGAATGTCCTCATGATGAGTTTGTTACCGTACAGTCATGCCTCTCCACATCTGCTCACTCAGAAGCCTTTTATATGGCAATATGTCTCCAGGCTGGAGAAGAGGATGTATACAAACCAGAGTCCAAAGAACAGCAAAGAGGTAAGGACTTTAGGGACACGTGGGCCTCCTAGTTCACCACCAATGGCTGGCCTTCGGCGTAGCATCAGTACTCCCATACTGAAGACAGCAAAAATGGTGAAAAGTGTCACGGAGAAGGCTAAAGAACCAGGATCAACATGGAAGACCTTCCCTTTGATCTCCCAGTACACAGCAGCAACTGACCAGGCTAAACCTATTCCCAGAAAAACATTCACTGCATTGCTTCCTGTCACATTCCCTACAGATGCATCAGCATACTGATCCTGAGTGGCAGCCACTTTACTGGCAAAAGTGTCTGGAAAAAAAGGAAAAGCATGTTTAGTTGTTTAGTGCATTGATTTTGTCTGGGGTATGTAATGAAAAAACAAAGTACCATTTGACCACAAAAGCCTACGTACCGGGAACTGAAGTCCCCAGAGCCACAAAGACAACTGCAGTGACAGAGTCTCTCAGGCCAACAGTGCAGCCAAAATGGGAAGCAAGATCTCCAATAACGGCTGTTAAAATACCGATGACAGAGATTGACACAATGAAGCACGCCCAGCCGTTCCAGTACTGCGTCGGTGGGACAAAAGCAAACAGAATCTTCCAGAACACGCACAGAATGTGCATGAAATAGTCAAAGCAGTTGGGTGTTCGCTGCTCCCCTCCCTCCTCATCGTCTCCTTCCCCTGTTCAAAGAAGACAGAGGCAATGAATAAAACACAACACCTGGGACAAGAGTGCAGCCTCACACTCAAAAAGTGTCACTGGGCTTTTCCACCGGATGCGTAAGCATTGCATAACGGCCGTGAAGTGTAGTATACGGCAACTGGCCGCCGTTATAGTGGATTGGTACGTTTCCACCAACCGCAAAGCATTGACTTTTGGATATTTCCCAGAAGTCACTCAGAAGTTACTTTTACATGCTACGCTTCCAGAATTTGTCTAGCGCTCAGCAGCTCAGATCAGACCAGACAGGAAATCAAACACAAATGTAGTGTAAAACATTCCAAAACTTTCAAAATAAAAGCCACTTTCAGATTTTCAGTTGCTTAACTGTCATTATCCATGAAACCTCTATAGCTGAGGTAAATGGAACAAATAGTAAACCACAGACTTTTTTGGATAAATGCTGCCATCTTACTTGTTATTGTATGAACTTCCAAAATCACGTGTGGTACTGCAATTCTCCAGTCATTTCATGACCTCACAGGTCCAGCTGCATGGAACGCTTTCACTGCCGTTCCACATCTGAAACTCTCCGGTTGGGAAGTCAGCTTGCAGGTAAAACGCGTGAATTACATTACACACCACTTACGCATCCAGTGGAAAGCCACAGCTGCCCTGGGGCACACTGATACATGCACCACTGGCTCCTCTGACTACAACCAGCAGGCTAAGAGGGTGAACTGTTTTGTTCATGCACACAATGACTGACAAAATGGAGGTGGGGTTCAAACTGATTACAAGTTAAACATATAACTCCTGAGCCACTGTCACCAGTGGGCTTGCAAGGCTTCCTTTTTTGTCTCTGACGTGGCTCTAAAGTACTATATTATATATTAAATAATTGTAGTTTTAGACGTCTTGCTTCAATCTAAAAGGCGGTTATCCAGAGTTATCCCTGTGGTTATGCTGCTATAGGCTTAGACTGCTGGAGGACACACTGACCACTTTCCACACTCTACTACTTTCTTCTACAATCTGCTCTTTAACTGTTATTTCCTGCCATTTCAGCTGTTAACTTTATTTTTTCTATAAGTGTTTTTCTCCCCACAATTATAACATTTTACTTTCTTTAACATTGAATGTGCTACTACTAGTTTACCTATTTAATTATAGATTCACGAGGATAAAGATAACAACAGTTATCTCTTACCAAATAGAATATTTACTAAGAAATCACAATGTAACCATAGAAACTCTACTTGGTAGGTTATGTGTGTGTGTGTGTGTGTGTGTGTGTGTGTGTGTGTGTTCTGTCTTCTCCATCCCCAGTGAATCGTGGAGGATGGCTGCTTATACTGAGCCAGGATCCTCTGGAGGTGTCTTCCTGTTAAAAGGGAGTTTTCCTCTCCACTGTTCCTGCATGCTTGCTTAGTATGAGGATTGCTGTAAAGACTCTGACACTAGTCAGTGACTCGATGCAATTTGCTGGGTTCCTTATACAGGAAACTTATTTCTGATTGCCTGACCTGTATTGGAATGTTTACTGTGTGAAGAGCCTTGAGACGACTCTTGTCGTAATTTGGCGCTATATACTGAACTGAATTGAATTTGAGTCTATTTCTTTTAGATAAATTTTAAATTAATCAAAATATTAGCTATTAAATATTTGAACAATCTCTGTACAAAGATAGTTTGAGAGACAGGGTCAGGAGCTTATTAACAGGGTCAATTATAAATATCTCTTAACTTGTCTAGTGGCCTTATCTACAAGACACAAGATACCTCCACAAGACAATTATCTATCCTTGTTTAATAAACAATATCTTATATTTGTCCCATAAAATGATTCTTTACAGTTTAAGAACAATTACATTAAACAATGAATGTTTCATCTAAAGCGAATTTGATAATGTCCTGATTGCATTTAATTAATTAATTAATTCTTATAAATGTCTAAATTAATGGCAAACAGGTCCTAGGTGAGGGATCAGATGAAGAGCAGCCCAAAGACCTCTTATGATGAATAATAAAAATGGAAACCGTGTTCCCTCGCCTGGACACGGGTCACCGGTGCCCCTCTCTGGAGCCAGGCCAGCAACAATCCAGTTCAATCTTTCTAACCAAACAATAAAACAAAGCCTTTATGTTGGTAAGACGATGTAATACAAAGCTAGAATAATTTGTTCAAAAGAAAAATACAAACCTTAGCATAGCATCGATTTTCAGGCCATGTGACTGCCGCCAATGTTGAGACGTGATGCCAATGTTCACCCTGGTTAGTTAAATGTTTCTTGTTTTCTGTTAGTTGAAATGTGGTTTTCTTTTTGGGAAGGTTTGTGGCTGCCGGCTTTTTTAATTTTTTTAATTTTCGTTCGGCTGTTTCTTCTTCTCTGAACTTCTGAACATTTCACTTACGGTTCGGACGAGTGTCTCACTTCCAGTTGTGTGTTCTGCTGAAAAATGAGTGCGTGCACAAAAATGTAGGTCACGGGGAAGATCAGAAATGCTGTGGATTGGCCAAACAAACAAATGGGTTGTCCAATCATTGATTTCGGACCGAAAGCAACAATGAGAGAACCACTTTATCATATTTTTTTCGGGGGTTTTTAAATCTCCACAATATATTTATAGCTATGCTACGTTAGCACGTTGTTAAGGGGCATGAAAAAAAGTTTTAAGTTAATTTGTCTTCCAAATTAAGGAATGCAGCTTTAAGTGGCTAATTATTCACTACATGTGTCTACAGCACTATTAGACACTCATTTATAGAGTTTATCAGCAAAAAAGGTTGACTTTGGGGTGACTTGCTCTTTGAACAAAAACCTGTGTTGTTCGAAAAAGTTGACCAACCAGAAATAACCCATTTGATTAGTGCTGTAGGAAAAGGACCCATAAGAGTTTTTACAAACTGCCACATTTAATTTTATTTGTTGAAAAAAAATGTGTAAATTTGTACATTTAAAAAATTCCAACAGAATATATCCTAACAAATAGTGACAGCTGGCTGAAGCCAGATTTGATCTGATCATGAATGAATAGTTTTGATTCAGTTCAGCTCCATTTGTTTGGTCACATTTTAATGATTGATCCTTTTCACTTTTATGTAGTGTTTGTGTGCTTAAACATGCTTCCTGTAAATATTAAACCAGACCAGAAACACGAAATGTTTCAGTACATTGAGTGAAAAAGGCACTGACCTGCACTAACCGTTACTGCTTCAATGAACTGCTCCCTCCATGAGTGAGTGCCAAGCACCACCGCCACATTTGTGTCTTTCAGGAGTTTGTCGACGGTTTTCTGTTTTAACAAATGAAACAGATTCATAATGAGGCAGAAGAAATTGTTGCTGATGTGGATTTCAAATAGCAGATGAGAAGAGCATGACAAATAAAAACACAACACATATTACACATTTGATGAATTCTTTACAGTTGTCGTGAAACTAAACTCGGCCATAGGGTTTTACATGTTAATGTTCAAAAACAGACTCATTTATAAATTTTGCTTGTAAGGCACAAACCATATTCTGAATTGAGCTTAAGTCATTTTCTACACTAACTTTGGGATTTATGAAGAAATCCTTGATGGGAAAAAATACTCGAGCTTAAACACAATTTTGGAAACTGGCCAGATGAATTGAAGCTACATTTACAGGCTTGTAAAGTTAAAGATCAAAGTCCCATTTTTGTCTCACACACACTGGTCTGCATTTGACCATCCCCGTGGGAAGAAGTGAGCTGCAGAATCCAACCCCTTAAAGCTGAATGTCAAGCAGGAAGGTATTGGGTCCCATTTTTATAGTCTTCCGTATGACCCGACCGAGATTTGAATGCCAATCTCGTAGTTGCAGGGCACACTCTCTACCACTAGGCCATTGAGCAAGTTTTAAACCCTGACACAAACACACACACACACACACACACACACACACACACACCCCCCCCCCCCCACCCCCCCCCCCCCCCCACACACACACACACACACCCACACCCCCCCCCCCCCCCCCACACACACACACACACACACAACAACAACCCGCCCATCTCTGAAATGACAAAAATAAAATTGTAACTTATACTTTTAAGAAATTACATTACATCACAATACTTATTGGTGCTTTGGTTGTCTGACTTGCAACCACAAAACTGTAAACCTTTCAAAACGGCTTTTATTAGCGGTGGAAATGTGCCGCGGTGCACCTGCTGTGGCTTTATTCTCTGGTTTGCTTAAAAAGGACATGCCTGGTGAAATCTGAATGCACATCGCTCGTGTTGAGGTAGTAAACTATTAGAAATATGAGTAACGAGGCAGCTTTGTCATAAATTTGTAATAGTAACATGTTTTTTATTCACATGCGTCCTTACAATTGTGGTTTATGGCCAGTTTATAAATGAATAAAATTACAGGTTTTGACACATTTTATTTTATATTTCAGATCAATATTTTTAAGTCTGTCAAAAATATTTTTCCTGCTCACTTGGTTGCAATTTTGAGTCACAAATTGTACTTTTTTGAAGCAACAGCACAATAGTTTAAGCACTTTGTGTAATTTTTTATATTCATTTTTTAGCTTAAGTAGAGTTTTAGGATTCTAAACAAAACTTTATAACTAAAGATTCTAAACTTATGAAAATCTAACTTCAATATAACAAAAACATTCAGCGGTTGACCATGTCATCATGTTTAAACTTAAACAAAAACAAAAAGGGAAAATTGTGTGTGAATGGTCCACCAACAGCTTGCTAAACCTGAGCAGAAATAACTCAGTGTCAGTCCTGACCCACTCGGTTCTAAAACATCCCTTAAGTTCTTGAAGGTTTGCAGACATTTGTTCTGCTTTGCTGTCTCAGGGTTCCACTGACCACAGAATTTAGATGAGGTGGACTTCTGGACCATTGTATCATGTTGATTCTTTTCCTTTTCTCTCTGTTGTAGATCTGCTGCTGAGTTTGCGATCATTGTCCTGCCCTCCCATCTGACTCTGTGGTGGACTCAATGACTTATCTGCTCAGTTTGGTGTTTGCAATTCATGCAGCAGTGCATTTTGGGTAAATGTGTCCACTTTGGTCTGAACTAGCTGAAGGAATTTGCTCAAGGTGTCTTGTTGCTCACTCACATGCAACTTTGTAAATGCAAGCGGTTTGTTTTAAAAGGGACATTTAATGTTTCTGAAGTTATGATTGTTCTCTGGTCTATAAAAACTTGTCCATACAGTTGCTCAAAATTAGTCTCACATTAAGGGATCTCAATAGTTTTGTCCTTGACAATTTCATTACCTTCCAGAAAAAAGCAGTTCAGGCTGCTATTAGCTGAGAAGCTCGGATATGCAGAGAGACGTGGAGTTCACTGCTGCTGCTCCAGCCTCAATGTGTGAAAGGGTTTCTTTGCTAATTATCCCTATAGTTAAGTCACAACAAGAAACTTTTAAAAATAGCTCATTTTAGGTATAAAATTCCTGAAAACAAATACTGATACAAAGAGGTTTGATGGATTTTTTGGGGAGCCTAACCCCGGCTGCACACTGAAGCATCAGCAGTGCGGAACAGCAGCGGAACGGTTTACTCGTGACAATCACAGCACTTCAGTAGACATCGGGAGTCTCAGCAGCTAAGCGGCTTCTCTGACATGTTCCTCGCGAGATCACAAAATCCCCAGAGACTTCAAAGGCTACGGTTTGTTTATATAATCCGCCATTAAACCTAGAAGAAGAAAATCACATTTGATATCGCTGTTTGATGTCAGATATGATGTTGTTCCTCTCCAATGCCAGGATTAAAGCCATGAAAAACACACCGCTGCACTTCTGGAACAGCACTGGGAGTAAATAAATCGTTGGGTCACATGTAAGCTTCACATATATGAAATTGCATTGCTGCAATACTTTTATTTTGAAAATTACTGGGGATTTTACACTGAAACCGTGTGTGATTTCCTTTCTAGCCTAATGTTAACTGCAGAAATTGACGCATCCCAGAAGCGGCTCATGAACAAAACAGAACCCGATCCTATCTTTAGTGGCGCTTCTGGGACGCATCACAGCTGGTTTGTAACACTTCATAGTCTCTAATGGATTCTATGTGATGCACTGTCGTTCTGCACCGCTGATGCTTCCAGTGAGCAGTAGGGGTGAGTCACTTCTGGACCATAGGTCCCCTACGACTAAACTAAAATAAAAGGAGTCTATGAGAAGATAAGCTATTTTCTCCTCCCATTTGTTCTGTACCATGGATTTAACATATGATGTCTGTGAATTTCAAAACACAATTTGATGCCAAGAAAGTGCTTTTAAAAAGGTGGAAAAAGTAATCTCGTTCCCTGTTAAAGTTGGACTCCGCCAACGCTGCCCTTTGTCACCGACTCTGTTCATAACTTTTATGGACAGGATTTCTAGGCACAGCCAAGGTGTTGAAGGGATTTGTTTTGGTGGCCTAAGGATTGAGTCTCTGCTTTTTGCAGATGATGTAGTCCTGTTGGCTTCATCAGAACGTGATCTTCAGGTTTCACTGGAGCGGTTCGCAGCCGAGTGTGAAGCAGCTGGGATGAGAATCAGCTCCTCTAAATCCGAGACCATGGTCTTGAGTCGGAAAAGGGTAGAAATCCTTCTTCGGGTCAGGGATGAGGTCCTGCCCCAAGTGGAGGAGTTTAAGTATCTCGGAGTCTTGTTCACGAGTGAGGGAAAACTGGAGTGCGAGATCGATAGGCGGATTGGTGCTGCATCTGCAGTGATGCGGGCGTTGTACCGGTCTGTCGTGGTGAAGAGATTTACCAGCTGATCTACGTTCCTACCTTCACCTATGGTCACGGGCTTTAGGTAGTGACCAAAAGAGCGAGATCAGGGATACAAGCGGCCAGAGCGAGTTTTCTCCACAGGGTGTCTGGCCTCTTTTTTAGAAATAGGGTGAGAAGCTCAGTCATCTGGGAGGGGCTCGGAGTAAACCCACTGCTTCTCCACATCAAGAGGAGCCAGTTGAGGTGGCTCAGGACTCTGGTGTGTCTCCTGGACACCTCCCTGGTGAAGTTTTCCCGGCACGTCCAACCAGGAGGAGACCTAACGGAAGACCTAGGACACACTTGCGTAACCATGTCTCTCGCCCAGCCAGGGAACGCCTTGGAATTCCCCCGGAGGAGCTGGCCCAAGTGGTTGGGAGGAGGGAAGTCTGGGCCTCTCGACTTAGGCTACTGCCCCCGTGACCCGACTCTGAATAAGTGGAAGAAAATGGATAAATGGTTGCAGATGGATGGATGGATGGAAAAAGTTATTTTAGGTTTTGTGTGAAAGGACGTTGACTGCTTGCCTCACAAAACTTATATCACCGAACCAGACCCGGAGATAAAGAACAAACATGGCTTTAAGTTTAGCGAGCTTTGAATTTTTCTTCCAGGATGACAGACAGAGCATTAAACGTGGAGAAAACCACTGGTCATACGTAGCAGCTACGCTGGGAGGGGGGTGAAAGAGATTCTGCTGTGACGTCATATATGCAACTTCTGATTTGAAGTGTTTTTAATTACGAATGTTTACAAGCTAATAAATCTTTAATTATGTGACAGACATATTCAAAACACACATTGAAGCATATGTGATTCAGATTGTAGGGCAAGGCGGTTTAAAAAAATAACGTAATAGTCTCGTTCACTAAGATTAACTTTTTTATTTTGTTCAGGGGACCAATGAGCCAACCGGAGGAGAGGAGACTTGGGCTTCCTGTTTATGTTTGGAGTGTTCTTATAGAGGCAGAAGACACCCAGATGGTGGAACACAAGTGTGCAAAAAGTGAGTTTTACAGAATGTGTCCCCTTTAAGGAGAAGACGTTTTCACCCCTTGCTGACAAACCAAACCTGCTCAGGCTGTTTTGTAGTCTTCCTCTCATGAGCTTTCACGTTTGACCTCCTAACTTAGTCCTGATTAATAAAACCATTTAAAAAGAGGCTGATCTTCTATCTATCCCTGTTGAGAGACAGAACTTGAAAACATTTACAACAAGCCCAATGCTCACACAGGACACACTAATACTGATGTGCAAAAGTATACTGTTGTTTCTGTACTTCAGTTTCAGTGTGTAGCCTACAAACATTTTCCTAGTGTGTTTTGAGTTAATGAGCGTAACATGAATTAGGTTTCAGGACACATGCAATTAGTTTTGTCCTTGGAAGAGAAGAGGTGACAAGCATCACACACGGCACGCAGGTAGAAACTGTACCTGGTCTAGAACTCCATTGGGTGTCTGAAGTGTGGGAGGGAACCATGCCGTTAATAAAACAGAACATTTACAACTATCAAACATTCATTTTCAGCAGCTTGTGATGCGGTGGTGTCCTGTCCTGTTCTATGTAGGCCTCCATCTTACATGTTTTGGATATTTCTCTGCTCTAATGTACCTGCTTTAAATCAACAATTGATTAGCAGGCTTCCAGAAATCTTTAGGACAAACTGAACAAGCGATTCAGTGTTGAGTGTGTGAACAATAAAAAGAAAAACAGAATGGTTCCAATGAAGGACCTGGACTACTGTTCTATGGATTGCTAAAATTTGGGGTTTTAAATCTGTAGGCACACTTAGTATCCTGCACGACCATGCCTCAAATGAAACAGCCTAATCTTACCAAACAGCACTTGTTTTTAAGACAAGGATTATTTATTGGCATCATGCATATGCTTAACAAAAATTCATTGGTAGCTTTCAGCTCTGCTTCTCAGAAAAGTAGATGAGTAGATTTTAGGCACACACCTTAAAATCACATGCTTCTTCTATGATGACATCGAGTTTGATGTGCTCTCCTAGAATGGGTTTACCCATTTCAGAGATCCTCCTGGCCTCTTCAACCTCAGGAGTGGGATTGTCTGTCAGTGAATACATTCAGTTATGTAACAGCACACACACACGAACTATAGTTATGCTGAAGCACGAGGAAGGAAGCAAAAACATGCAACAACACACATTTTCAAACATGCAACAGGTGTAACAATGAACACAAAAATAGAGACAACCACAGGAAAAAATATATTTTTATAATAATCTGCCCCTGATCATAATTAATTCTCTTTGAAATGCATTTTCACAGTACTATCAGATGTTAACAGAGTAGAACCATGAAGCTTCACAACTCTACAATTACATCAAACTACAGTATTTCACATCAAAAGTCTTTAAAACACTGCATAGTGCAAGACCAACACACACACACACACACACACACACACACACACACACACACACACACACACACACACACACACACACACACACACACACACACACACACACACACACACACACACACACAACTTACCCTGGTTTAGTAGTAGTGCTATAAAGAAAAGGAAACAATGACTGGTGCACCATTTTCAGAGCCTTACATGCGAATTTAAATCAGTGCTTCCCACACTACTGAAACAAGCTGCTGTTGGATCTTAAGTGGTGTAAAAGAGTCTTTTGACCTCCACCCACCAACAAACCATTCTATCATCGCTAATTACACTGAAAGGCAACTAATGAGTACTAGAACCTGAAACTGATCCAGGACCTGTGATGCAGGGACACAGATATAGCAAAAATGAGCTGAGTGTAACCTTATGTTACTGACTGAGTGCAGCTAATTTTCTGCTGCTGCATTTTACAGCGTTTATCTGGGAGGTTAAGTTAAAGTTTGACCTCCTCCTGCAATCACTCATTACCAAGTAACCGTTATAACAAATCCTCGCATATTTACCTGAAACTCCTCGCTTTAGCCACTTGGGGGTTTCCAGCACAATGAAGAAGTTCTCCTGCTTTTCATATTGCGACACATTAATAATCCGTACCTGTAATGTCTGACTGGAGATGTTCATGCACACACACACACACACACACACACATGCGCGCGCACACACACACACACACACAAATGCACGCACACATGCGCGCGCGCACACACACACACACAAATGCACGCACGCACGCATGCACACACACACACACACACACACACACACACACACGCACGCACACATGCACGCACGCACACACACACACACGCACACACGCACACGATGAAAAAAGTGTTTTACAAAGACAAGACATGTAGTTTAGTTTACATCACCACGTACCAAGATGAATCCTCACTGTGTTTCTGGATCTAGTTGAGCTACAAACTATTTGTTTACTGTAAATCATTATTGGTGTTACATTTCACTTCTTCACTAATTTATCAATGTGCAAAACCCGTATACAAGTTGAAACTTTAATAGTAAACTAATCTATCAATTCAGTGGGGTGACTGGAGATTACAGAAACTAATCACAGACGGTACGACTTATGAAATGTTGTTTACAAATTTAGACAAATCAGAATTTGACAAGTTTAAAGGCGTTACCAAAATATTACACATTTATGTGAAGTGAAAGTTAAAACATTAATTCAACAATTATTACGAGGTGTGAATATATTGAGATTAAATTATTAAATCAACAAATATTAATCTGTGGTGCATCATCAATCAGCCACAGGAATCACACACTGAGGTTCTGGTGCTCTCTTCCCAAAAGACAAAAACAAGCCAGACATAAACGGCTGTCTTTGTGATCACTGCTTCTCCTGTTTATGACAAAACGTTCGCTGCGTGTTTTATTTAGCCCTGTGACAATAGAAGATTGATAACCAGACTCGTCCCTGCTAAAGCTTTACAAGTTAAAGTTTGTGTGTGGTGAAATTTGTCCTCCACATTTGGCCCATCCTGTGGGCAACGGTGAGCTGCAGACACAGCCGTGCTCGGGAACTAATTGGTGGTTTACCCCCCCAATCCATCCCCTTATTACTTAATCTCCCAGTCCCGGGGCAAACACTCATACTACTAGGCCACTTTCTAAACATACCCTACCAGTAAATGCATTACCAGACACACACCATTACAATATGCACACAGATATGGTCCTTTTTTGTCAGAAAAGACTCTACTAACAGTAGAACATCAAATCCATGAATATTTCATTGTGAAACACAAGGGGGTTCAAATGATTTCCTTTGGATTACCATGACCTGGATGACTGAGAACCTTCACCACTTCACTGTCAAATGTTTGTATTGGCTGTCTGTCACTGCCCCGGTGGTTTTAAGGATTAGTGCTACAACCTCAAAACAGACATAAGAAAACAGATAAACATAAATGTTCTTCACTGCCTCACCTGGTCTGCTCATTGGTAAATTCCACCTCCCCTCTGGCCTCCTCATAGTCCACTCCAGCCTTGGCACTGCCATCTTCTGTATGGTACGGTACAACAACTGTGCCCCTGGTGCCCGAGTTCCTCAGCACAGTCACCGTGAGGATGCCAGTGCTCTCACTCACTCGAAGTACCTTCTCCTCAAAGGTGAAGATTCCAGCATGGTCATCGTCCAAAATAATGATGGTGGCAGCCAACGGCTCTACTAGTCTACCCTTGGGTGGGGTTCCAGTCCCTTCAATTCCTCCTTCTTCTAACCTCAAATTTTGAAGACGCACAAAGAAATGTTCATCTTCCTCAAAGATGTCGTCATCCAAGATGGCCACCTACAGAGTGGAGTGTATTTTGGTCAAGTCATATGCATCATGAATGCTTTAACAGATTTTGGTCTTACTATGTTTGTGGTTACAGATATAGTTATTTTTCTGGTCATGCAAGCACAAATAAATGATGCAAAACCAAAATGAATAAAGTAGTGCTGAACGTGTTACTGGAGATGATTAGCTGTTGCTACTGGCTTCTGTATGTGAAACACAATGCTCGTTTCATAGCAGTAACTGAACCGACCAACATTAACTACAACTAGATAGTTGGAATGTTTTAGGCCTTTAAAGCTCAACAAGTTTACATCTGACCAAGTTGACTTTCTGCTCATACATTCTCCTGCACGAGTAGCTGGTGTATCACACAAATATAGGCAAACAAATAAGAGCTCAGTCATTTAATTGTTTCTTTCAGGATCTTTTTTTTAAGATCAGTAAAAAACAAACCTTTTTTAAATTCCGAGTGTGTAAAACTGTGTGCCAGTTTTCAAAATACATGAATATTACAGGCTAACACGATGCCTTTTATCCCAGTTTGATATACAGTATTTAATGTCGCAGTTAGGTTCATTTCCAGTACGGGAACAAAGTTTGAAAATAGCTTTTCTTTGACGTAAATGGGTACAGCTTTAATGACATTTCAAATAAATCTTTTCTTGCAGTAAATTCACCCATAAGTACTATCAGATAACACAATACTGTGTATACTTAAATAAAAGTTAAATGTATTAATATGTATCAACACTTTTACTTTCTCAGCTGCAACCTAAAAAACTTAGCCTGGAAATCTAGACCAACGGTAGCAGCAGCTAAAGATTTTAGCTCTGCTGATTGGTCTAGCCACACTCCATTGTAGCCTGAGCTGGTGCTGTTGATGAAGTTAAAGGGATATTCCACCCCAAAGTAAAATTTAGTCTGTTGCCATATTTCCATAGTCACATAAGTAGGAAAAATCTATTTGTAACCACCTCAGTCATTATCCTAACCCAACAATAATCTTTTAACTTTAGCTTAGCATAAGCATTCTCTTCTGGCACTCGCAGAGTACAGACGCTTCCCTTTTTGCTCCCTTATCTTTTTTTCCCAAGGCTCTTTGTCCTGTCTGCCCACAGAGTGCTTCTCTGCATTTCTCCTGAAAATCCCTATTTTTTTAGAAATGGATTTAATTAATTGGTCATTCAACGCGATTGATAAGATTTGTTCAATGATGAGAACGGAGCAGGGGACTTCCACTTGCCCGCAAGGGACACACCCGGTGGGGTATATGCTCGATTCCTGGAAAGAATGGAGGATCGTATGCCTCTCCCAGTTGTCCATTGAGGACGTCGAAGATGTGTGGATGTTTGGCCTGATGATCACTGGATTTCTTCTGATTGGAGTGGGAGGATATCAGGTGTTCTGGAAATTTGGGAAGACGGGAGCGATTGGAGGGCGACCCGCACCCACAGAAAGCACCGTTCGTGTGGAGACCTTACAGACTGGGACGTTACTCGAGGTGAATCGTAAGCTGAACAGCGTTCTAGCTGCGTTACCGGCATTAGTGCGCAAAATGGATGTCATCTCGGAGAGGGTCACCGGACGGTGTGGAGATGTTTAAAACCTGAATTGGCTTCACTGGAGGACTTGAATGATCAGTTACAGACTTGAAGTCAGAGAGGAAATTTATCTCTGCCTGACCCAAACAAAGTCTTGTTGTCCGAATCTGACGCCATGGCAGCCTTGTGAATGACAACAACAAACCCCCACGAAGGAATGCAGACAGATGCTGTGAAAACCCGACACCCCCCCCCCCCCCCCCGCCTTCGGATTGGTGGACTTCAGCCTGGCGAGGTCATCAACCTGCAGGTGTCAATGTGCTCTGCGCTCCTCCCACGATCTCCCTCCCACCTGTGGCTACAGTGGATGAGCGCCATACAGGGCTGCTCTCGCTGGGGAAACAGGATCCCAGCCCCCCCCCCCCCCCCCCCCCCCCCCCCCGCCTTCCTCTAGGGGGCTCATGTTGTCATCTGTTGATGTTCGTGCTTATATGTTTGAGGCATTTTTTGCATAGTAAAGCTACGCCCTGCCGGGAGTAACTCTGGTATGCCTTTTTTCCCCTCCCCCAATTTATCCAATTAATCCCCTTTTCATCTAATTGAAATGAGCGCCGTTATGGCTGCTCTCGTGGTCTGCCTGTATCTGTTCTGTCTACATGTGTGTGTGTAACCTTGGTCAGGCTGTGCTGCAGAGTCAAGTTCCTATGCTCTGGTTCGCTGGAGCGCTGGCAATAAGCTACGTTCGATAAAAGTAATTTTCTGATCCTGTTTGATATATGTCATGGATTTCACATTTGATGTCCGTGAATTTTAAAGAAATGTTTTGACGCCAAAAAAGTGCTTATTTTTGACAGACGGCAAAAGTTATTTTAGGGCTTGTGAAAAGATGCAGTGGACTACAGCATACAGAGAGAAGAGAAGTCAATGGCTGTGAGTTTAGTGAGCTTCAAATCCTTCTTCCAGGACCGAAGCAGCATTAAATGTGGAGAAAACCACCATAAACCTGGTCATAGCAGCTACACCTGGGAGAAGAGATTCTGACATCACAGTGATGTCTTATGTGTGACTTCTGATTTGTAGTCATTTTATTATGAATGTTTACAAGCGAATAAATCTCAAACTACGTTACATGGTCATTACACACCAAATTATTTCTCATTTAAATTGTAGTATACGGCAAAGCAAATTAGAAAATAAATCTTAGAGCCCCCGTTCACTTTCATTCATTTTTTTCTTTGTCCCGAGGACCCATGAGTCGACTGGAGGTGGTGGAGACTTAAGCTCCCTATGAGCTGAGAAGTTCAGATGTCTGGGAGGGGCTTGGAGTAGAGCTGCTGCTCGTCCAGCACCAGCTTTCTACTCCGGGGGAGTGGTGGTTCTACTCAAATGTCCCAAATGAGACTTATTGAAACGGCTTGTTTGAGGAATTACATTTTTACATTTGCAGTGTTTTCAGTGACAGTCGAGACCCCCGTGGCAGCACAAAATATGCAAAAGATGAGGTTCTCATGTTAAGTCCCTTTAAAGACTTTCTATTACCTTGATTTCTTTGTGTGTTTCTCCTGGTTTAAACACCAGAGTTCCCTTTGTGAACTCATAGTCTGAGCCAGCATTAGCAGACCCATTCTCTGTACAGTAGTCCACATAGAATGTGTTCTGGCCTGTGCCGCCATCCAGGATCACCCTCAGAGTCACATAGCCACAGTTCTCTGTGCACTGGTACTGGCCACTTTCAAAACAAATAAAAGAGCATTCGGCTTTTTCAGAAGCCTGTCCTGCACGTCGTTTGCGATCAGCAGCATGTTTCCTTAATATGTTTCCAGCGCCGATCATCAGGCGTGTTGCCTGGACCCGGTAGAAGGCACGGCTCTTCTTCTGTTGAACCAGGGCGGAGTAGTTGGCCATCTCAATCAGCTCATCCAGGTCTTTGTCTGGGTGTTTCTCCTTCAGGTCTTTCAAGATACGGACCACCTATCAAGGAGAAGAAACATGATATAATGTGTGTGTACTGTGGGAGGATTTCTTCTTAAGTCTCATAATTTACCTCCTCTTTGTTCTGGTCAGGTTCATTGGCTGTCTGCACAGACCCCATCACATTAGGGGAGTTTCCAGGGCAGGAACTGCCATCTGACAACTTTCCATCCATTACCAAATCTATGCCTTTGGGTGAAAGGTCACCTTCCATTTCCACCACAATGCCATGCCTCTTGTCAACGCGATACCGCTTGTGCATGTATTTGTAAAACAGCAGCCGACGATCAGCGATCCAAGCCAAGAACACACATACTGGAAAATAAAGCAGCGTCACTACGGCTTCCCACACCTGGTGACACAGAAAACATGACCACTGCATCATTAACAAGCTACCTCTATTAAAATGCTGTCATAGAACGTAAAAAGGAGTGCACCTCTACAATCCCAGGAGAGATCACAGCCAGTATGAGGTAGAGCCAGATGTAAGCAAAAATACTCCAGAAAGCTGTGACAAAAAACACTGGCAGGTGTTTGATTTTGCGAACCTCTCCATCGGGGATTACCGACACACACAGTCCAATGATTACAAACATATTAAAAGCTGCACTTCCCACTATGGTGCCTGGGCCCAGCTCTCCTGCATCAAAGTTGTGTCCACATACCTGAAACCACAAAACAGGAAAAGCTCAGCCAAACGTTGACTTCATGTAAATACATGTGGATGGTGCAAATGCTGTAATTTTAAATAGTCTACTTTCAAAGTTAAACATTTATAATCTTTACATTGAGAGCAGGTACCTCGATAACCGAGAGCAGAATCTCTGGTGCAGAGGAGCCCAGGGCCATGAGAGTTAGGTTGGATACCGTCTCGTTCCAGATTCGTACAGTCGTCACTGTGGTTTCACCGTCCGGTTTGGTGATGGTCACCGTTTTCTCCTGGTATGATAGTTTTCAGGATTTGGTTTTTAGACAGAATAAAATCTGGTTAGTGACAGACTTGTTAACCTAATATTATAAACTGTTGGTTTTAGTCTGAAATGAGTTCTAGTTGAAATAAAACCAGAGTGAGTGAGTGAGTGAATGAGTAAGTGAGAGAAAGTGAGAGAGAGAGAGAGAGAGAGAGAGAGAGAGAGAGTGAGTGAAAAAAGAAAGTGAGCGAGTGAGTGAGAGAGAGAGAGAGTGAAAGAAGAAAGTGAGAGTGAGAGAGAGAGAGAGAGAGAAGAAAGTGAGTGGGTGAGTGAGAAAATGAGTGAGTGAGTGAGTGAGTGAGTGTGTGTGTGTGAGTGAGTGAGTGAGTGAGTGAGTGAGTGAGTGAGTGAGTGAGTGAGTGAGTGAGAGAGAGAGAGAGAGAGAGAGAGAGAGAAAGAAGAGAGTGAGTGAGTGAGTGAGTGAGTGAGTGAGTGAGTGAGTGAGTGAGTGAGTAAGTGAGTGAGTGAGTGAGTGAGTGAGTGAGTGAGAGAGAGAGTGAAAGAAGAAAGTGAGTGAGTGAGTGAGTGAGTGAGTGAGTGAGTGAGAGAGAGAGTGAAAGAAGAAAGTGAGTAAGTGAGTGAGTGAGTGAGAGAGAGAGAGAATGACAGAATAAAATGAGTGAGTGAGTGAGTGAGTGAGAGGGAGAGTGAAAGAAGGAGTGAGTGAGTGAGTGAGTGAGTGAGACAGTGAGAGAGAGAGAGAGTGAAAGAAGAAAGTGAGTGAGTGAGTGAGTGAGTGAGTGAGTGAGTGAGTGAGTGAGTGAAAGAAGGAGTAAGTGTGGAGGACAATGGAGGTAAATGTGGAGGTAAATGTGGAGGACACCCATTCTGATAGAAGTTACGCTGGTGTCCCCGTTAAAATAGCAAAACTGCATTCCATTATAATTTATTACGGCATACTCTTCTATGATGCAGAACTGTTTATGCCTGCATCTCATACACTGATTATTTGACTCAGCTCTATCCTACACCCCCCCAGTTGGCCGGGGGTGTCGGGTGTCGTGTGGGGAGTGTGCACGGGGTTCGGGGGCCACAAAGAGGGGGCCCGCAGAATCATATCTCTGAACCATCTATTCCCTTAACCTTCAGCAGCAACGACTTTATGGGATTCTTCACGAATAAAATTGATTCTATTAGAAACTAAATCGTTTGCATCCTCATTAAGGCGATTTCTTGTTCCTCAGTAAGTGAGGCAACATCAGAGGTAACTGTAGAACCTCATCTGTGTTTGAACTGTTTTGATTTAGTTGAGTATTCAAAGTTATCAAAAATATTAGCTTCATCTAAACCTTCAACTTGTATTTTTGATTCAATCCCAACCTAATTATTTAAAGATCCTTGTCCTTTGGTTACTGCCCCCATTCTAGATATAATCAATCTATCCTTAGTAAATGGATACGTACCACAGGATTTTAAAGCTGCTGTAATCAAACCTTTACTTAAGAAACCTTCTCTGCAACCAGATGACCCAATGAATTATAGACCAATATTTAACCTTCCATTTTTATGGGAGTATCACAGCAGTGAAACCGCATTAGTAAAAGTTACAAATGAAATTCTCATTACCTCAGATAAGAATCTTGTCTTGTTAGATCTCAGTGCAGCTTTTGACACAGTTGACCACAATATTCTTTTAGAAAGGGTTGAACATGTTGTGGGGATCATACGAACAGTGCTAAACTGGATTAAATCCTATCTGTCTGACAGATTTCATTTTGTTAAGGTACATGACAAATTTTCTTCATACGCTAGGGTTACTTGTGGAGTACCACAGGGTTCTGTACACACACACACACACACACACACACACACACACACACACACACACACACACACACACACACACACACACACACACACACACACACACACACACACACACACACACACACACACACACACACACACACACACACACACACACACACACACACAAGATCCCTCCTTTGCTCTCCTCTCATGGTTTTCCTTTCTCCTCGCTTCTCCTCACACCTCCCCCGAAAGCTCTTCAATGATTAGTTAAGGGGATGCAATTAATCCAATAGGTGATGGCTTAATAGGCGGATCTTTACAAAATAGAACCCGGTTTTTTGCCAGTGTTTACATGGCCTTGCGGAACCGGGTAATATATATGTATAAGCAGATATTTTAGCTATCAGACTCCTCTATTCCAACATGTTCTTTCCGGACTCAGAGACGAATGCTTGGATATTCGTCGTTTTGGTGTCGGGATTCCTGCTGTCTGGCCTGAGCAGTTACCTGGCTTACGGGAAAATTAACGAGCTTTCGAGGAATATTGACTCAATCCCGGAGCTCCGGGATGGAATGCATAGTGCTGTGAACGCACAAACTCATATAATTGTTGAGATGAGTCATAAGCTTGGAACTTTGGCTGAGATTCAGGCTCTGGCACAGAAGGTGGATTCCATCAAGGAACGAGTTGACGGATCAGCACGGATTGGGATAAATTACGCCATTATTGGACCTAGAGGGGTTTAAGACCAACAGAACACTAAGGCAGAGAGGAAATGATCTCTGTCTGTCTCCAAAACAATTCTTATCTGAATCTGGTGCCCTTGGAGCCTGTGAGGCTGAAGTGTAAACTCCCCCCTCAGAACAAATGTGGCTCTCCAAGAGCTTCTTCTGGCTCTTGGAGAGTACAAACGCTTTTTCCTCCTCTCCTCCCTATCTTATCCCAAGGCTCTTTGTTTGTCTCTGGGTGTATGGCGCTTCTGCATTTTTTCTGTAAAACTTGAAACTGGAAATTATTAAAAATGGACCAGGTCAATTGGTCTCTCAACGCGACTGACAAAATTTTTTCAATGATGAGAACGGGAGAAGGGGCTCCCGGGTGCCCCTCTGGGACAGAGCCAGTTGGGCATATCATGGACTCCTGGAAACAGTGGATCTTGGTCTGCCTGTCTCAGCTGTCTGTAGAGGATTCTGAAGACGTTTGGATATTCGTGGTGTTGGTGTCAGGTTTCCTGCTCTTTGGCCTGGGAGGTTACCTGGCTTACCAGAAAATTAACGAGCTGTCGAGGAATACTGGCTCGTTCCCGGAGCTCAGAGATGGATTAAACCACTCTGTAAACGCACAGACTCATAATTGTCTAGACGAGTCGTAAGCTTGGCACTTTAGTTGAAATTCAGACTCTGGCACAGAAGGTGGATAAAGTTGATGGGTCAGCGTGGATTGGGATAGATCCATTATGCCATTATTGGATTTAGACGGGTTGAGGACCAACAGAACTTTAAGACAGAGAGGAAATTATCTCTGTCTGGCCCCAAAACAAGTTCTTATCTGAATCTGGTGCCCTTGAGCCTGTGAGGCTGAAGCAAATACTCCCCCTCAGAAGAAATGTGGAATGCTGCCGTCACCATGGCAACTCTGTCTCCCTATCACAGCCTGGGTGGGACTGCGGCCAGAGAAGGCCACTGAATCATTCCAGGAGTCACTGTGCTCTCTAAATCCTGCGACCTACCTCCCGTCCAAATGGAGGTGACGAGCGCTGCTTCTCGTGGCTGCATGCACTCATGTGTGGAGAGTCCCCAATCCTACCTCCTCACCTAGTGGACACTTATGTTGTGTGATGTCTGAAGTCTGTGCATTTCTGTCTGAGGTGTTTTTTGCATAGCAAAGCTGCCCTCCCTGTGGAGGGTAACTCTGAAGTGCCTTTTTTTTCCTCCGCCTGACTCAATCGTCATGTAAACCATCTAATCTCTATCAAGGTAGCGCAACTTGGGTTGCGAATGACCACAGTCACCAAATGTTGTTATGTGTCTATGTATGTATGTATGTATGTATGTCTGATCTCAGAATTGTGTGTACTGAAGCTCTAATTTCCCCCTGGGATTAATAAAGTATCTTTGAATTGAATTGAATTGAATGCTGCCGTCACTATGGAAACTCTTTCTCTCTATCCCAGCCTGGGCAGGACTGTGACCGGTGAAGGCCATGGAACCGTATCTAGGAGTCAATGTGCTCTCCAACCCATTATCTCCCTCCTCTGTCCAAACGAAGGTGATGAGCGCTGCTCCATGCGGCTGCAGGCACTGAAGTGAGGAGAGTCCCAACCCTACCACCCCACTTAGTGAACACTTATGTTGTGTAATGTCTGAAGCATGTGTGCATATCTGTCTGAGGTGTTTTTCTGCACAGCAAAGCTACTCTCTCTGTTGAGGGTAACTCTGAAGTGCCTTTTTTCCCTCCCCCTGACTCTATCCTCATGTAAACCCTCTTGATCTATTACAGTAGCACGACTCCTCATGTAAACCCTCTTGATCTATCACGGTAGCGCAACTCGGGTTGCAAATGACCACAGTCACCAACTCTTGACATGTGTCTATATATGTATGTCTGATCTCAGAATTGTGTGTACTGAAACTCTAATTTCCCTCTGGGATTAATAAAGTATTTTTGAATTTGAATATAAAAGGTTAGGTTACCCAGAGTTATCTCTGTGGTTATGTTGCTATAGGCTTAGACTGCTGGAGAACATACTGATCACTTTCCACACTCTACTACTTTCTTGTAGTGCTTTGTACCAATTTTCACCACAGCACACCAGTGTATGGGACAACAATAGTACTTTCATCTTGGGACCCAATGCATTCTGCTGGGTTCCTTACATAGGAAACTTTTTACTGATTGGCTTAATGAACTGAACTGTATTGGAATGTTTACTTTGTGAAGTGCCTTGAGACGGCCCTTATCGTGATTTGACGCTACATAAATAAACTGTATTGAATTGAGTGAGTGAATGAGTGAGATTGTGCGTGAGTGGGTGAGAGAGTGAATGAGTGAAAGCTAGAGAACAAAAATGACTCTGTAAAACTACGTGAACCAGACCTAAAAATTGAACAACCTGTATAAACATATCAACCACCCTGTTACCTGAGAAGTAATGACTTCTATTGCAGCCATGAAGCGGTCTGCAATGATTGACACACCCAGGAACATGTACATAAGAAAGAAGAAGTAGAGGATAGCTCTCGCAGCCTGCTCCCCCACTGGAGGGTTGAGTGGCATCCACACTGGTAGGAGGATACCAGGCTTACACACCACAACCCCCCCACATGTCTTCTTTCCGGACTCAGAGGTATTATCAGGCTGTTCCAGACCAGATGCTCGCTGAATGACCAGAGGCTTGAAGGAAGTGCAGGGGTGGCAAATGAGGAGGAAGATGAGTGGGGTGCAGCAAACCAGAAGGAGTCCCATGGCTTCCCTGAGTCAGACGGGGCCTCAGGCTGGGCTCACAATGGGTCCAAAGATGGTCCTACAGGAGTAGAGGCAAGATAGTAAAACACATTGTGAATTAGCTCCATTAGATTCTCTGTAAGAAATAAAAAATCTACTCAAGTTATGTTATGTCATTTTGTTTTAGCTACTTTTCCTAAATATTTGATTTAAACATTTACTTCTGAGAACCATCATAAGAAATATCACGTTATAGAATCATTTACTTTTTAACATACAAAATGGGTGATCACAGACTAAACGTAACTGAAGTATCTGGTTTTTAACAGTTGTTTAGTGGTTTAAAAATTACTTTGGTGATATTAATAACTGTGTTGATTCTAATAAACTAACAGACTTACAACCAGACATCGGAAACAACGGGCCAAGTAGTCAATACTTTTACTTTAAGTTTTGGAAGAAAAGCACCAAGCAGCTAACCAACCTGCAGATGTGTGACCAAGTCACTGCTTTGCAAGTCACAAGTAAGTCACAAGTCTTTCCAGTCAAGTCTCGAGTTAAGTCCAAGTAAAAAAACCAAGTCCAAGTTGAGTCCAAAGTCAATAATGTGGAAGTCCAAGTCAAGTCCAAGTCCTTAACTTTGAATTTTCGAGTAATAATCAAGTCATCTGTCCATCTTCAATTTAATGACCATGTTAAAAAATAAATTCCAAAAATAAAGCTTCTTAACGTTTAATTTATTTGTTCAAACAAGCAGAAAGTGCAACTGAAACTGATTATAAACAAAGTGCTGCTGCATTTAGCAGTACAAAATCAAACCCAGAATGAAGAATGATTTATGATTTTTGTCCATGTCGTGCCACTTTTGTGCTTAAATATCAAATATGCTCAAGTCATCATCAAGTCAACAGATGCAAGTTGATTCAAATTGCAAGTCATTGGCGTTTAAGTCTGAGTCAAGTCTCAATAGATTTTATCAAGTCAAGTCAGAATTCATTAAAATAATTACTCGAGTCTGACTCAAGTCCGAGTCATGTGACTCAAGTCCACACTTCTGCCAACCTGCATTAGTTATTTGAACCCAATAGCAGGATCCCCCGATACTAAAGCTCATCAACTAGCCCTGGTGTAAGAATGACTAAGCATTTACAGATCAGTGTTTTCCACTTTACATTAATTGCATGATTTACGTTCTAAAAATAACCCGCAAAGTAGTCAGCTTTATCAACTTTTAGAACTATTATTCCCAACTTCTCCCTAATTTTGTTTGCTAGGAAACTTGGATGATGTCCTGATTGAAACCAATTTGGTTTACATGGTTCTGACTGCCATATGCATCGCAAAGAAAAGTATCCTCATAAACTGGAAAAATAAAGATGATCTTTGCATTAATCAGTATAGAAATCGTTTGTTACATCATATTACACTTGAGACAGTATCTGCCTCCACTTCACATCAATCTCTCTGGGCTCCTTTGATCGGTTCCATCACATAGCAATGAAGGAGCGTCACTGATATTGTACTACACGATACAAGGGTTCATGTTGTGGAGGGTCCAAGTTTGGAGTATCCTGAGGTTCCCTGGGGTGGATTCACTGGGCTGGGGAGCTGCTGCCCCACTCTGGTGGTGCTTGGGTGGCTTCAGTGGGTGGGCTTCTGGTGGCCGTGTGTGGGGCCTTGGGAGGTCTTGACAGTGGCCACAGGTCTCTGCCTGATAGCTTTATCACCCCATGGTGTGTCTAGGTGTGGGCATGGTGGCTAGGGAAGTGGGGGCGGTCGTCCCCGAATGGGGATCTGACCTGGGCCTGGGGTATTGGGTCCTGGCTTGTATGCTGCTGGCAGGAGGGCAGGAGCATACGGCGGTGCCTGGTCCTGTCTCGAGGGCCTCGGGTGGACCTTGGTTCCTCCTGTATTGACAAGAACACTTCTGTTCCATCTCCGTGGGGCTCTGAGATGCTACTGCTTTGTGCCCTGGCTAGATAGGCTGGGGTATCCATGCTCTGGGTAGATTTTGGGAACAGGGGGTGCCTATTTGGACCAGTTGGGGAGCTGGCTCCTTGCAGGGTCTAGGCCCCCCAGCCATTCTTTCCCATCCTCAGACATTTTCCTCCTCCTGCTCCTTCATATCACCACACAAACATGCAAATAAGGTCTTGGGGTGTGGGTATGATTCCCATTTCCACAGTCCCGTGGCTGTTTGCACCTCAATATTAATTAGCACATTAAACACCTCCTACTTACGTAACTATTGGTAAAAATCTGATGTTAGCCCAGATCTGGACAAGTGGGGGAGTAGAGGGAGGTGGAGAATACAGTCGGTAAAGATGGCTCTCCCTTGCCCTGCCTCCAACATGCCTTCATCTAAAAGGCTAGGTTATCCAAAGTTATCTCTGTAGTTATGCTGCTATAGGCTTAGACTGCTGGAGGACATACTGACCACTTTCCACACTCGACTACTTTCTTCATTTGAAACGGCTATTACATCAATTTTGGACTATTTGAACTTGGACTTTATTAGAATTTAAGAGCAGAAAGATGTATTTAAGTCCTTTATTTAGAAAAAGCATGCATTTTTGCCTTCTTCAACAGCGAACCGAATCGTTTACTGACATCCGTTGTGGTGAGGATGCCACATTGTTCATTGTCCAGTAGCATGCAGAGATTGTTTGAAAGATAAAGGTAGAACCCACCCCACGACCAAGAGCCATCAATGGAGCGCTGCTTGCCAGGCTTGTCATCAGCATTCAGACAACAGTTCTGATTGCTTCACAGCCGGACAGGACATGGTACAAAAAACAAACAAAATAATTATTATAGATGTTTTTAGCGTAGGCAGGTACTATTCACACACACACAATAACACACACCAGAATGTCAGTTTCTCAACAGAGAATTTATATTTTTATGACTGTTTTAATAAATTGACAGAAACATAAGATTACCTTCATTTTTGTTCTGTTCTCTTTTCAGAAGTATGATAACCAGTTTGGCTTTAAGGCCAAACATGGCACTGAGATATGCATTTATGCATTAATGGAAATAGAGCTGTATCGGCGAAAACATTCCACCATCCTGGCTGGTTTTATTGATGCTTCAAAGGCTTTTGTGAGCATTAATCACAACAAATTATTTTTTTAACTGAGTCAAAGGGGTGTGCCCAGTAGTATCAGAAGAATTTTGGTATGTGAACCAGAGCATGTAGGTCAAATGTTTCAGCCCCATTCAGTGTTGGTGATGGGGTTTGCCAGAGGGGCTGCTCTCACCAGCACTTTTTAACATCAGTATGGATGAGCTGTCTGAACAGCTGAGTATAAAACAGGATGTATGATTGGTGGCACATTAATGTGCTTGCACATTAGCGTCGGCACGGTCGGGGTTTGGTCGGGCTGGATGGCGTGAGTTCGGTCTCGAACGGGTGGTGTAGTGTTCACATATAAATCCGAGGGACTTCTCAGGAATGAAGAAATCCCTGAGCCTGTGGGCGGCGGCGTTTAATACGCGCGGGAAAGTCTCTTCCATAAGGTAAACAAAGGCGGACATGAGCTGTGTTGCTTTTGGAGACTCTGAACCACATAATTTTATCAATTTCCTGTGTGTCCTCATAATCTTGTGCCCCCCCCCCCCCCCCCCCCCACACACACACACACACATACACACACACACTGATGTCTCCCCTGAGCATCTGTCTGCTCGCCAGGCAAGACCTCCGATGTGGAGAACAGGTGCACGCACACACAGAGAGCTATTCTCTTCTCCCATTACCCACACTGAATGGCAACTCCGTGTTACAGACAGATGTTTACTCAACAGCATCCAGCATGAAAATGAAACACCTGTGACATTTCGGAAGAAGACCGCAGACGATGGTCAAAACATGTAAAAAATGTAACTCGAAACACCTTCATGTCCGAAGCAAAAAGAACCTTGTTTAATATTTAAAAAGAGGACATAAAGAACATTGTAAAGGAGATACAAATGTATGTGCCAACTGAATGCTACGGGCAGAGAATTCTGCTGTTGTGTCCTTGGGCAAGACACTTAACCCACTTTGCCTGCTGGTGGTGGTCGGAGGGACCGGTGGTGCCTGTGTTGGGCAGCCTCGCTTCTGTCAGTGCACCCCAGGGCAGCTGTGGCTACATCGTAGGTCATCACCATCAGTGTGTGAATGGATGAATGATACACTGTAGTGTAAAGCGCTTTGGAGTCCTTACTCTGAGAGGCGCTATACAAGTGTGGGTCATTTATCATTTAACTCCATCATTAAGCATTTGACTGATGCTGGGCTTAGTGATGTGGGATATTATATGGACATATCAGCATAGTTGTCTTTTAAACTAGTTTTTGTGTTTTTAATATGTGAGTTTTTATGTAAATAACGGATTTTTGAGTCTGTAAATAAAGTATTCTTTTCCTTCATGCTTGAAGATTTTAGTTAACATTTTTTAAATAATCCAAAACAGTTGACATGTTCAGTTTTTGAAAAAAAATCTTTAAAATCAAAAACAACCTTATTATATCTTCAAATCTCACTCAACAGTGTCAGGAAACATTAAAGATGGGTAAAGACATTGATATAATTTTAAATTGTGATATATATCACAGTGTTTCCCCTAGCAATTTTTCCAGCTGTGGTGGTGGTGGTGGTGGTGGTGGTGGGGGGGGGGGGGGGGTTGATATTATGACATGTCTCACCTTTATGTTAATATTGTTTTATTAGACGCACTCCACTTTGAACTGCACCAATCCAGCAACTGCTGCATTTTAATAACTAGTATTAAAGGTGAATACACCAATATTTGCACAAGAATAATTTTTGTTTTAAACTCAGTGACACACTTTGCAGGAGGGATTTGACATTTAATTTTTCTTGGCGTCTGGAAAAACATTTCCTTCTGCCCCCCTTTATTTGACTTTCTGCCCCCTTTATTTTGGTCCAAGATCATTACTAGGCTGACCCTATTAAACACGTTCTACACCCCTGCTTAGTGACTTAATGAAGTATTTTTAAGACAGTATAAAAATGACTGAAACACAAATTTACATATTTGGCATTATTGACCAATATCTCTGATTTAACTT